ATAGAAGTTCTATTTCACGGTAAATTGCACGGTCACGCGATTGGTGGCTCTGACCAATCAGATGACGAGGATTTATTCAGGCGTTGTATAAAACAAATAACGAATGTTTCACATTCGTGCAATCTCCACATAACATTCATTATTTGTATACTGTAGCCACACGTAGAGTAATACACCTTTTTGTCTTATACTTTCGAACTTGGGTCTTATACCCTCTTATATCTTGGGTTTAAATAAACATTATCCTCCGGGTTTTTTTTCGAATCGTGAGTGATGAAGTTTCAAAGAGAAGATAGTTCAGGAAGGCAGTGTGGAACGCTAAAGCCTCTATAGATGGATTGCGTTCGGCAGTTATCTTGGAGGTTTGCCTTGTTATATTAAGTCATAAACAATGAATGCACGAGACGTCTACCCATCCATATATCTTGAATACAAGCACACACCCACACACGTTTGTTTATGGTGTAAATCGAGGATTTTCTCTAGTTCCTCTTTCCCTTTCCTTAGTTTGTACTCTTATTTTTTCGCAACAGCTCTCATTGGTTTTGTACACGTTTTCTAATCGAGGTCGTCCTCGAATTGGTTCCTGTCCTCGATTCATCGATAATGTGGCACGTGTGTGTCCTCGATTTACACCATAAACAAACGCAAGATGACTACAGTGCCATTATAGAGTAGCCTATCACCATAAGAGTATAGATTGTTGGGCCAATTACATGTATCTATATTAGGGTGAAAGGTTAGTCTATATGCCTCCCTCCAGATCTTCTTCCACATTTACAAGTCCTCGAGAACAGTGGTGACGTTTAGTTTATCCCTCCGTACTAAGACTACTTTAATTTGCCACCACTTCAATCCGCTGGACGTCAGACAGATACGATCCTTTACCTTTACACCCTCTCCAACTGACCCAAGCAGATCCCGTAGCTTTTCAGGCCTTTCCCCCACACGCCCAGACACCTTATCAACCCTCACCGCACTCTGATGACCCTTGGTTATTTCATCTTATAATCAAGGCCTATTGACATTTGGCTTGACTGAAAAGACTGAAAATTTAATACTCGTTTGTTACTGCTGAGTTCAGGGTTTTGTTTGTGTCAATAAGGCCAAAAAAAAGGTCAGTCTCTGGTCAGCGCGCGTCGATTTTAATTATCCGCGTCAATCTTTCTTTTTTTTTCCAAAATGTTCCGCGGTAGCTCCAACAGCGCTCTTTATTGCTGCACCTTCTCATTTTTTTTTACCAAAGAGCACCAAGGAATGGGAAATTGCACCAAGGCAAATGATCGAGAGCACCAAGGCAAATTATGGCGGACACCAATGTACATGAGGACACCAAAAAAGCAAAATAGTACCCCACCTTGTCTGTACAATCCAAGCTTGAGGGAAAAAAAAGAAAGGAAAAAAAGCCAGATCGCCGCATCAAATCCGGAACTTTGGTCTGACCAGAGACCGAATACTTTTTTTTTTTGGTCTAATGCACATTTTCTGCATGTAATAGCTTTGTATGCATGCTCCAATTCTTCTCAGAATGCCTCATCGACCTATATTTTAACATATTCACCGCCCAGCAACTTTTACCAACCACTTTTCACCAGACATTCTGAATCTGTGATGAAAAGAACTGCATGACCCTGGCGTAATATTTAGGCCAACCACCGATTGGTCAACGGTAACTACTTTTGAACCAAATGAAAGAACTCGAATTGTAGAACTTGATGTACGTGGTATTATCACGAACGTATACGTATTACGGAATACCAATTCTTTATGTCCCCATGTCACACCCACATCTTGGTCTTCCTAGAAATCCAAACCTCGAAGAAAAAATAACATAACCTTAAACCATGTGGTGATTTTACTTCGGCGACGTAAGCTGTTTTACGCTTGCGTGTTATGATCAATACCCAAACAGGATTCATATTGAATAATCATGCCTTATTTACATTTGACTGAAAAGACTGAATTTAATACTCGTTTGCTACTGCTGAGTTCAAAGTTTTTTTCGTGTCATTAATGACATTGCCTGCGTCATATGTTCTGAAGGATGCCAGGATATATATATGTTTCTCTACCGTGATGCAGGATGCGATACCAGGGTTATAACCCCCCCCCAAAAAAAAAACGTAGAGTAAAACCCTCAATGAAAGAAAATGGTAAAAAAAAAAACTGATAATGGGAAACAGATCTCCCATCCCAGTAATTTACTTGAACTATAGTTCAGCATAACAGGTCGGGTTGAAGGGCTACCAGACATGTTTCTATAGCTTGGTTTATCCACTGCGGACCCCACTGCTATGATTGTAGAATGAGGTTAACTTAATGAAGTGACGATTTGAATCTAGTGTACAAACATACAACTGAACTTGAGCTGGACTTTCTTCATCGTTACCTCTTCACATCTTTGGGCTGTTGAGAGGAATCTCTGGTTTTGTAACCAAAGCAGTCACAATGCCCGATCTGAAAAGCTCTAAGTTGCAGTACGATTCCCAAGGTGGTTGAGTACATTGTCTCCGAATCTCATTCAAATAAACTCGCAGCATGTTGCAGTGAAAGACTCCCAAGACACCCTACGCATTATGGGCCTGATGTTGCCAAATGGTTTGGCAACGAAAAATCACATGTAGAATACCGTCGCGATATTCTGAACATCACACAGTTTGTCAATCCAACTTACCTGCTACCAAGAATGAACAAAAAAGCAAGACAGACCGGCAGGTGCCCTTGCTTCTAGAAGCACACCCCTTCATCATGAGCGGCATGGCTTTCTGTTTTGCCCCTGCCCCATGCTCAGTGTACAGGCAAATGCATACCGCAGGATTAATAAATCTTTGAACCCATATGTTAAAATTTAATATGCAACAAAAAGACGATGAATGAACCACTTTTAAGTAACATAGACACGACTGATAAGAGTATTTGAGTTGCGCTAAAGTCTTTATTCCAACACAAAAGACAGGAAGAAGACAAATTGACGGGGATCAATGGAGGGAACACGATTGTTCAGAGGACCGTCACATGGACGTGACTCGGTTTACAGTTGACTCTTTTGAATGCAGTTCACGACCCTTGTATTATTGGTGAGGGACCTATATTTGTCTTCTGCATCTCTAGAACAAGATTAACTTGTGGGGTGAATAATTGTAAGGGAAACAAAGGCACAGCATGTAAGGCCGTCGTATACCTTTGCTCCAATTTTTCTCAGAATGCGTCATCGACCTATATTTTTACATGTTCACCGCCCAGCAACTTTACTCTGCCACTTGTCACCAGATATTCTAAATCTGTGATGAAAAGGATTGGATGACCCTGGAGTATTATCTAGGCCAACCATTGATTAGTTCTTTAACTCTCGAACCAAATGAAAGTAATGTATATTCTTCAGCCTCGAGTTATAGAATTTGATGTACGTGATATGATCACGAGCGTATACCTGTTACGAAAACAAACGCTTTATGTCCCCATGTCACCTCTAGGTCTCCGTAGAAAGTCAAACTTCGAAGACAACATGAACTACCTAAAACCAGGTGGTATTTTTTACTTGTATATGGTGGTATTAGTGACGTGATGTTCTGTATTTGCGCATGCGTGTTATGGTCAATACCCAAACAAGATGCAGAAAAAATTGCCGACCGAAATGCTTTTCACTAAAATTACTTGCAATCTGGACCTGTTTCATGATTGCGTTGAACAAGGGCGTCGCGGGGGGGGGGGGGCAAAGGGAAAGGGGATGCTTTCCCGCCCCCCCCCCCCCCCCCCCCCCCCCCCCCCCCATCCCCACCCCGCTGGAAAAGACAGGGGGAAGAAAACACGAAAAACAGGAGGGGAAAAAAAGAAAGGAAAAAGAGGTGTGAAGTAATATATATTTGCTATTAATTAAATTTAATACACATTTAACAAACTGGGCGTCTGCAGGGTGTCAATGGAGGTAGGGTGGGAAAATGTCCCCCGCCCACCCTCGAAAAAAAATGATAAATTTAGAATATGTTAGAGAAGGTAGGGGGCCCCTACTGCCGACGCCCATTACGTTGAAGACGATGTTTACTGTTACAGCCAACTATTTAAATATTTGTGCTTGTCCCATAGGGGCCACCGTACACATCTGCACCCCGCTCACTGACTGGCTCACTGACTTTCAATTAAGAGTTAGACTTGCTTACTATGCCACACCTTGGCCTGAAAGTTTGAAAAATAGGAGGGCCCCGTTAAGCCAATGCATGGGCTAAATCCAACCCATTCTGTAGGCTACAACATGAAAAGACTCAGTCAATACCTACTCAGAATCGCTTGAATGTACTGTGTTCGCTTTGCAACCAGCTTATGTACTTGGTGTGTCTTGTTTAATTAAAACAGATGAAAAAGAACAATCGAGACTTGAAGATTACCGATGCATGGTAATACTTACAGAGTTCAAACTCAAATATAATCGATTAATCAATTAACTGGTAGACTATAATTGGCTATGTTTGGTAATTTGATGCAGTCACCGCTCATCCAATCTGTATACAGTCAACAATAGACGAAAAGACAAACACTTCTCTGGCACTCGCAATATGAAATTTGTCCCCACAGATAACTGTAGGGAAAGAAAGATAACACAATCTACGTTGTTTGTTTAACTCCTACAGATTACACTACAATTTGGAACCTATCAGGCCAATTGGATCGCACCAAGTTGTCCTCATTTTTGGTATGCAAATACGTTGACGATGTATATAAACAAATTAGTCCGTGTTCGGGGGAGGGTACCAGTCGTTACAGACTCTAAACGTGGCAAATAGAATAGTGGGGAAAAGTTCAATGGATTTTGAGCCCCTCGCTAATTATTAAACATTAACTAAACTTCGGGTCTTTTTAAGTGAAGTTAGTTTAGATAGCCAGCCATACCGGCTTGGTCCTACAGGCGGCACTGACGTGATACGCCCCCGGAGAAGCTAGCTGGTCTCTGGATCACTTCTTGTTTCCTTGAGAAGGTCTGGCTGAACCGTAGGCTGAAAGTAACAATGCAGCTGCAAATTCTTGTGATCGGTGCCCTTCTGGCGATAGGTAAGACTTATAAACATTTGAGCTGCTCCGGCAAAAAAAAAAATAACTGAATAAAATAAAATAAAAATCCAAATGTTATGTTTTCGAAGTGTTTTAATTTACATTTTATTAATGGTCTTTGGCCACAGCAGTTAAAATTGTTCTAAGAAGAAACAAACGCTTAAATGAGCTATAATACATTCTTGGATCGTTTTTTCCCCTGCAGATTGTGCGGCGTGTACGCGTAGTATGTCTGTGTAAAACGGTGTAAAGCTCTTCCTTTTTGACAACTTCTCTAAAATCCAATTGTTGTTTCGTCTTTAATGCCTGTTTAAGTCGTGCAACCCACATCAACCATCGATATTTCCCAATGCGTCTATTTTAAAACCATGGCGAGGCTGTGGCCCCGTTTCTAGGGGAGGGGCAATTTGTTCCCTGTAAATGGTATGGGTAAATATATATGTATGACTTTTCAAACAATATCATGTTCTCCATCATCGAATTCTTAGCGGCCATGAACAGGGAGCTTTGGGTATCCCTTGGTTACGCCTCTGTTATGGGTCACAATGTACTGATTATTTCAATTGGGTGCATACTTATGTTCCCCAATACTGATGTTCCCCAACCATAACGCTAACCTTATCCCTACCCCTAACCACAGCCGCAACCCCAACCCCAATACCGATATTCCCCTAAGTCCTTGGGGTTAAACCCCAAGGACTTAGGGGAATATCGGTATTGGGAACAGAGGTATTGGGGAACATCGGGTAGACCCAATTTTCAATGTGGGTGGATAAGAAATCCGGAGCACAATATGTCCAGGAAAAAATTGGATTTGCTTTGATTTTGGTATCGTTTATAATTAACGAGACAGACGATGGCGATATTTGGTCTTCTGAAACCAGACCCAGATTACGCAATAGGCACAGTAGGCACCGTGTCTAGGGCCCACGAAAAATTCGGGGGCCTACGAACAATTTGGGGGCCTACGAAACCTTGGGGGCTACGAAAATATCGCAGTGTGCCATACATAAGCCTACTCACACACACACACACGCAGAGAAAAGTTTTTTTAAAAAGGTTTAGGGTCTCTCTCAGAATTTTCGATTTCACCAACTGACACTGTACAACATGTATGCATAGGCCCTACGTATAAAATGTACGTTTAATGTCCGTCGTTCTGAAGCACGGTGCCAACCATGGGCGTCGATCAGTGGGGAACGTCCCTGAAAAGTAGCCTACCTTTGATTCTTTATAGCTCAGAACAGCTGATTTAATGACTCAAAACTCGAAAAAGACGTTTGATAAGGATTTTGTGCTAAAACTTTAGCAGTAGCCAGAAATTGCCTCAGATCGCACCACAGGGCGCCTAGAATCCAATTTTTTCAGGGGCCATTAAGCGGGCCCAGACCCCACGCCGTTTAGGCTACGCACTCGCATAATTAGTACTGATCAAGATACACATGTACATGTATGTACCACCCCCACTTTTGAGAAGCTTTTCGGATGTCCACGGCCGGGATTTGGTCAGCCCCCATCCCCCCCCCACCCCCACCTTCGCCGGCACAGATTTACGCCACTGGCCGTCATTGTACTCGCGTGGTCACGAGTCTATTCATGCCATCGGCTGACGTTAATGTGACATGGTATTAATAATGGCATCATTCCCTAGACTTAGCGTAAGTACAAGAAAAGATGAATTTTCCCAAGCGAGCTCAGAAATTAGACGAACAAAATTCCCTCGTAAATATTTGTAAACGGGTCAGTAGTTTGATATAAATATAATGAGGTAAGGGAAACTTGCTAGAAATTCACTCAATCAGCGCGATATGTCAGTGCCGGCCAAAAGACGCGCGACGCGAGACAATTGGTGAGACAGAATAAGGACGAGCTTGGTAAGGTTAATTGCTCATAGTGACTCTGAATAGTTATCTGCTCGGTACGTAAGAATGATTGTAGAAAAAAGTTACGTAACAGCGTTCATGTGTATAGCGCGATACTGATGCATCTTTCGTGCAGCTTTGAAACACAAAGTAACTCTCCCACTGCGGAAATAAGGATTATGTTTTAAACGCAAAGAAAAGCACCTTAACTGAAACAGCCTAGTTGTTAAGCTGTCTGGCAGCGGACCCAGGGTTAGGGGTTCGAACCCGCTTGGTGGCATTTTTTGTTTTTCGATATCGGCGCGGTTCTGTCATTTAAGAGTATTGATTTCCCGCCGTCAATCACCAACAGCAGTTAGCTCGGTCGGTCGGTAAGCTGACTCACAAGTTGGGACTGTCTGCGAAGTCCAGGTTGGCATCTGCGTATAGGTACGGGGTTCTTTTGCTGACTCGGCAGCAAGGCTTAGGGTGCCACCTCGTTTCCTCCCTTTATGGTGCCTGACTTTTGAGTTACATGGATGGACAGGGAAGGAGGTGTGGTGGGCCGGGTACCGAGTCCCAGAAGAGTTCTATATGGAAGTCGGTAAGGGGCTCATTGAGTTAGGGTCATAAGTCCGACTCCTGAAGACTTGGCCATCGCCACATAACTTTTTGTTTTATTTTCTTTCTCTTCTATCGGAGGACAATTGCAAGAATAATTAATTTATTATAATGAGAGCTTGTACTGTAATCGTTCGAATTTAATTTATAAAATTGCTCGAAAATACAAAATTCAATCCAGCTATAATGTTTTTATTTCATTGTCGCACAACTGCATGTACATGCTCGTACCTTTGTGCATACCTTGTTCAGGCCTGTTCCCTAATTCCAGACTGCAGGGGGGGGGGGGTCTTTGAATCCTATTTAGTGGCATTTTTTGTATGAGAGCGCGAAGCTCTGAAGGCGTGGGGTCCGGGGACACTGAGAGCCCTGGGAAATGTTTGGATTGCTGATGCTCTGTGGCGCAAATATCAAAATTGTAGCTTGACTCTCTATCGAAATATGGCCTCGTTATTTTGAGTCGTCACTAATAAGAATCAGCTCAATTCGTAACTGCCTGGGAGCGAGCACGTGCTTGTGTTTTGCACAGCTGCAGCTGTCAACCCCCGTATGTGAAGCGACTTCGCGCGGCAGCTTGTGCCGACATGACAGAATGTATATACAATCTTTTGCCATGGGTTGCAGAACCTGATTTTAGCTATGCGGAGTTTTGATCAGCGGTGTTTGTTATTTACATTCTCCACTTTGTTCCTATTCCCTCTTCCTTTCCCCTTCCTTCTCCATTCTTCGGAACACTGGTGCCTAGGGCCTACGAAGCACTTAACCCGGGCCTGATGGGGGAGCAAAAACATGTGGGATTTCTTGACGTCCAAACGCAGGGCCTTTTATGCACCATGTGACACAAGGTAGCGCTGTCCAAGCCGGGAACGGACATAAAACGAAATCTGACGGGCCTGGACCCCTCCTGCCAAAAAAATTCCTGGATCCACCCCTGGCAGCCCTGGATTCCCCTCAGAAATTTAACCCTAATTGCGCCACTGGATATACACTTTCGACATGTTTTACTTAATAAAAATGCCTTTTTTTCTGCCCGTTATCAAAACCAATCCATGTATCACAATCAGGCACCCAGGGCAGCGGAACCGGGGGGGGTAGTGGCCCGGGAAATTTGAAACGAAAATTGGAGCTGATGTTTCCCAAAATACACTGGCTGGAGATAGGCATGGGCGTCGCAGGGGGGGGGGGTGTTAGGGGGCACTCCCCCCCCCCATAGCTACCCGACCCCATACCCTACCCACTGTTTGTTACAATTCGGAAAGACGTTTATTAAAAGTTTGTAAACGGAGGCAAAATATGGGCACTAATGTTATAGTCACGTGGTATTTACACATCTGAAATATGGTGTTCCATTATGTGCAATCGGCGACGCATTTTTAAGCTCTGGCAGGGATCATTTGGATAATGTCATGCAAGAGTTTCATTCAAGACGGCCAGAGCTTATTGTGCACTCGTACTTGTTATACTGATTCCACTTAGTGCACTTTACACTTGTAAATTGGAGTTGGATAACAGTGGTTACTGATAGCGACAATGTCAAGTGACAAAGGTTAACAAACCTCTTAACATTTGGAGATAAGAAACCTGTGCCTGGCTCTGTTCAATACCAAAGTCATTAAGATAGGACAACGCCATGCCTGAAACACACGCAGCTGAATCAGCAAGATCCCTATTAGTAATACATGTATTCCACTATTTCAACTATTCCACAACTCGTCCAAATCCTTAACGTTGGTATTTACGTGCTTTTTACAGGTTTTAATTTTTTTCGATCGAAATTTAAAGAAATATAATGTTCAGTAACTAAAAAAATTGCTTGCTTGTTTTTGAATACTGTTTTCATACAGTTTTTCTAAATTGGTTTTAAATGGCGCGCTCCAGTTCAGAAATTGCACACACTATATTCAGAACGAATTAGGAGCGTCCCGCTCTTAAATCAATAGTGGCAATTTATTATTTGATGACTTGTCATGGGCCAATTTCTTTCGTGTGATGTCTCATCGGAAAGCTCATAACTAAGGTAATGCCAGAAACTTATCAATTCAATTTGAAAATCTATTTTCCAAGGTGCCACACCCGAATAGCACGTTGAAATAACTTCTCTAACTATCTCCTATTCGCCACTCCTATATGGTGTATATATAATAGACATGAATAACTAGTTTTAAATACTTTGCTTCGATAGTTATGTAACTGTTTGATATTTTTTTCCTAGCAAGTTTTGTCCATCTGTAGAATTTGTACTTGTTTAACTAAGCCTGTTAAACTCTTTCTGTAATTGTATAATTTTTATCGTTGTAAAGTGACCCTTTCAGCTGGTGGTGGTCATTTTGCTGTTGTATGCCAATACATAAAATAAATATTTGATTTCACGTGGCCTCACAAAGCCTGCAGGTCATCCTGATAATATCCAGGTATAGGCACAAGTCATGTGAACCAAATTTCACGCAAAACACGGTGAGTAAAAAAAAAAAGAAACCCAAATGGCAGGACCAATTTTTGAAGTAGTTGTGCTTGTAGCACTTTCAAAATCTAGGATATGAAAGCCCAGTCCTGAAGCTTTTTATTTTAATACAAGAATCATTCGAATCAAGGTAAGTGTTCTTTCAGCAGAACCAAAACAATTCTATAGGAATGATAAGCTTTCATATCCTAAATCTGAAAGTGCTACAGACAAAACTTCATTCAAAATTGGTCTTGCAATTTGGGTTTCTTTTTTGTTTTACTCACCCAGTATTTACCTATTATGAACCAGCCTTATTGATGTTAAACATCGACCATAATTATCCCAGTTATGATACATTTGCGGATAATCGTTAGTTTGGTTGATATTTAAGGATATGCAGTGGCGTAGCCAGGAATTTTTCAGTGGGGGGGGGGGGGGGGGGGGCCGCTGGGGGGGGGGGGGCTGGAACATTTCATGGGGGGTCATGTAGATCAATGATAATTTTTTTAGAAACTCAAAATCTCAGTGTGGGGCGACGGGGGGGGGGGGGGGCGACAAGGTTTCATGGAGGGCTGCCCCCCCCCCCCCACTCCCCCCGTGGCTAGGCCACTGAGGATATGCCTTCGTTAACGATCTTCATAGACAAGGGTGACATTTATAAATGTTCAAAAGGAATGTTTAACATTTTCAAATGTTTATCCTCAGCAAATGTCACAGCCTAAAAAAGGTTCCTCATATCAAAAGGAAAGTCGAGTACTCGCGTTCCAGAAATGACGTGTACAAGTGTGTACACTTTTTGTTTTAACTTAAAATTGAAATGAATCACCATTAGGCCTGTAACAAATATTCTTAAATATTTTCATTCGCATCGGTATTTGAAAGATCTCGGCAGTTGTAGCCAAAAAGTGGAAATAGGGAGGGAACATTAGCAGGGGTACATTATCTTAATGTAAAGTGCATCCTTTACCACCACGAAATTGAAATTTCGTTTCAGCGCCAAAATACTTTGTATTAAACCAGTCGATTTTATTTTCATTGAAATTTGTGATTTGATTTTTAATATTGAAAAAAAAAACTCATCTGTGATTACAAATCTTGATATGGTCTCCTAAAAAAATCTGAAGCATTGAGTTGAAAAATTCCGTACCAAGACGTGCTAAGGGTTCCATTTGAAGTCGATATCGCTTCGGGTCCTTTATCTTTTTTTATCAGAAATTTCATCCTTTGAACTCAGTGTATCGGTTGGTACTAGGATTACGCCCACCGGCCAAAAATAGATAGTTCATGACGTCATTACAGTCAAAGGCTGCTGAATTTAAGCAGTATTGCTATATCGCCTACAACTTTCATTGACATTTACCTATTGTCTTCTAAAGCCATATATCGTAAAATTAAGAATACTTCGTAAAGTTATACCTCCGATTTTCACAAAATTCCATTTCACTTTTTTTTTCTTTCCCTCGCATTAAAACGTTTCTCAAGCGTCCATGCAACTTTTGTCGTGAGGGATAAGTGTGCATATTAAAAAACAAACCAAAAAAACGAGAAAAATATAAAAAATAATACAAGAAATATTTCGGAGGTAAAGGTAGGTTTCTTTCTTTTAGTTGACTGCGCATAATTTATATTGTGGGCTCGAATATGCAAATTTTATCATCATTCCGTACACAATTCACCGTTTTAAATTTATCTTTATGATAATGGAAGATGATCCTTGTTGATTTTATTGCCTTAGGTAATGGTTGTCATTTTTTAGAAAGCTGTTGCAACTTCGGGGGGATCATTGTCAAACAATCATAATCTTAGTTGGAGCCTGAAGTGGATTTCTCTTATCGTAGCAAGTTGTGCACGTGCTTGCTTTACTTCACAGGTCGTCATCCCATTGGTCGTTTCGTCCATCTTACGCTGGCAAAAGACTGGCGCCTGATTGGTCTATGAGGTTGAACGAACTCAAAACCCGCTAAAATTAGTCAGCGCCTATTTCTATTCGCACCATATCGTCTGCATAATGCACGCGCGTTTCTCCAAGTCCGAAACTTTTTTAGTGGCTGATCCAGGATTTTCCAAGGTGTGGGGGAGGCTTGGCCGGGTGATTGAAGTCCAAGACTTGGCAACGTCAGGTGTTTGAAGCGTTGTGTCAAAAAACATGCATTTGCCGTAGGCCTATTGGGTGATGACGTTATCGTCAAGGACATTTCCGATCTTTTCCCTATGATGTAAATAATTAACAATGATCGATCGGGTAGGGATGGTAAGCCGCGTACTCCTACCACTCCTTTCTTTGATCCGACCTTGAATTTATCACTTACACAATGGATTTTTTGAACGATCATGTTGCGGTTATTATATGTTTTTGTTTTATTAATCCTTTCGGGTATTTATTCTATTATTTCACCAATTGCACAGCAATTGCCGCTACTCCACCCATACCACAGTGCGGCGGCAGCTGGCAGCAGCTGTCCGGCACGGATCAGTGCTTCATGGTGGTTACCTCGCCGAAGAAGTGGACCGCTGCTCGGACTGATTGCCAAAAAAATAAACGTGGCGATCTAGCCATCATTCCCGACGCAACAACTTCGGTAGGTACCACCTACCCTAAACCAGACTATGCGGTTAGGGGAGGTCTTTTTAAAATCAAGATGTGGGCCCTTCAGCAAATGTGGCCCTAGCTTGGAAAACCAGCTCTAAGTCTCCTGACATCAAAAGGCAATTTCCAATATCATGAGCCTTTACTTGGAGCTGGGTTTTCCAAGCTAATTGCGACCTTAGCTCCAGTGTGGCCTGAATATTGCTGCGCACTCATATGGGGCTAGTTATAATGTGACGCTGAATGGGTCATTCTGTAAATTAAGGATCCAAAGTGTGACATTTTGTTCCTGTCCCTGTTACCTTGGTGCTTTGCAATTTACTATTCATAAATGCCTAAGACAGTTTACCCATTTCTATTAGTTGAGAGCCCGTCACGTGGCCGGTCTTAACGGATGATAAAGACCGTCTGGCTGGTCTTAAACACCATTCCAGTGTCACATGAAAGTTGGACTCCTATTAAATCCAGTGTCTTTACCATTTTATTACTTGAACGTTCACAATCCTCACTGAGGCATGCGCAATACTACCAGCGAGTCAGTATTTTCATGGTCTCAAATTCACAACGCACCGCCACATCTGCATTCTGTACATCGCGCGACGCGCGCCTATCTCCATAAAATAAGTTGTTTAAGACTTCTCGGCACGCCACTAAAGGGGTGCTTCGAAAAACATTAAGTAAAATTGTTGAACAAACTCGTTAGAGATTTGTAAATTTTTGACTTGTTTTGACTTTTGGACCGAAAGGTTTTGATTATTTGACCGAAAAGGTATATATGAATGGGAATGAATATGCGCTTGGTCGGTATTAAACACTATGTTTAACCGGTCAGAGTCCGGATGCTGATAATTACCCTCGCCTTCGGTTCGGGTAATTATCAGCATCCAAACCGCGCAGTAAACCGGTTTTAAACCGAGTGTTTAAGACCTCCCAAGCACACGTTTTTTGACCCAGTATCATCGAGAATGACTTCAAACGATATGGTAAGCAGTTTGCTATTCATAATCACTCCTGGAGGACAAATGCATTAAGGAGTGCATCAGAATCATAAAATCATGTCAGATGTACATGTAACAGTCACAGGAAAGTGGGCATCGGCCTGTTATATAAAAAAGAAAGATGCTGCATATTGCAATACAATTATGACATGCGGACACAATTTTCTGTACAAGGTGAGTAAAAAAAAAACGAACCCCAAATGTTGGGACCATTGTTTTAGTGTAGTTCTGCATGAAGCACTTTCTATAATATGATTCAATTCATAAGCTTTGTTTTAGTACAAAAATCATTCAAATCACTTATGTACTTTTCAAGTTACAGAATTTTAAACACAACCACCGTTTTAAGGTTCTGTCAACGGATCACAAAAAAAGTTCAGCGTTCTTTCAGCAAAACGAAAACAAATCACAAAAGGATGTTGTGTGCATTGTTTTCGTTTTGCTGAAAGAAAACACACCTTTTTTTTGTGATCCGTGGACAAAACTTTAAAACGGCGGTTGTGTTTAAAATTACGTAACTTCAAAAATACATAGGCGATTTGAATGATTCTTGTACTAAAAGAAAGCTTATGAATTGAGCTTTCATATCCTAGACTTTGAAAGTGCTCCATGCAAAACTTCACTAAAACATGGTTCAACATGTGGGTTTCGGATTTTTTTTTACTCACCCTGTAGTGTCCTCTTCGTACCTTACGCATGTATTCTCAAGTTCACCAACAAGTTATACATAGACATTTCTAAACAGTTTTTCATTTTCTCCCCTAGACCTTCATAAAAAATGTTCTCTCTGGAGCCACTGGTCAGTATTGGATCGGACTGCACGATGTTATCGCGGAGAACACTTTCAAATGGGTGGACGACACGCCACTGGGCAGTTGGAAGTAAGCGCATGCGCAAAAGCGCCAACCAAACATACTTTGCACTGTAGTTTTTGAGGGGCAGTAGTTACTTTTAAGACCCATCCTAAAGTCCCTGCAGCGGGATGCCCCGAAAGCTGACCCCAAAACAAACAGATAATACGAACAAACTGAAGATATTCACCATTATTATGGTTTAATCACAGACTAGTGGCAGTAAGCTTTCAATTTGGTATCTTGGATGCACTGCTCAGGCTGCAGGTCATGCGTCACAGAGTTCCATTGTTTAGTGAAAACCCTCCTGGGACAGTTTGGGCTAATGCACCCAGGCTATTAAAGGGAATAAACAACATTTGCAAACATCGAAAAATAAAACTACCAACTCTTTACGAAATACCTCACTAGGATGTAGGTAAATGACAGTCGAAAGCATCCTGTACAATTATGGCACCTGGTGTGAAGGCATTTTCAAGAAAATGGTATTGTTGTATAAATTTCCAACCTAACTATTTTTCAACTACTGCTCCAAATTCACCATTTCTTTTCAGTCCAAATTTTGTTTGCTTTTTGTCACATGTTTCATGAACAGGTGCAGGCCAGCTAGACTGGTTCCCTTACCTTACAATTTTCCGGCATCTATAAATTAGTCCATTTTATCTTTAGTGGAGTCAGGGAACCAGACTACTCCACCATTTGTGTTTTTCTTGTTTTTTTTCCCCGGCATTTTCGAACGCAAAACTTCAAACATGTCAGTTTAACAATATTTGATCTATTATAGTAACCCCTCAAATAGTTCATTTATGAAAATTACAGCAAAAGCCAATGATGTACATTCCCTTTAAGGCAGGTAGGTTACAGGACGTTTCTTATTATGAAAGCATGAACAAAACAGGCTTTCAATCAAAATGATGATCGTAATCGTTCAGGATTCAACACCTTAGCCAGGTTTATCGCCTTCCACATGACCACGTGTCCCCCACCACAAGAAAAGGGAAAAAAGCGATTCCTTAGAAGCGATTCCTTACAACAATGTGTCTGTTGGCTGAAGCATTACCTTGCCTGCCAAAGATTCCGGTAGGTATACAATTTCCGTGACTTTCAAAACTTTCGAGCTGCAGCACAAGGTTATCAATCGACAGATATAAAATAACTGTGTCTTGATCCTACTCGTCTTATGTCTGGATATGCTCGTGTTTTACACCAAACTGTCCTAGTAAGGTTTACACATACCTTTTTCAATACTTTGCAAATGAAGCTTAGTGATGCGTGACCATGCAGAATATGCAGTCAATGGAAAGCCTTACAGTCACAGTTTTTATGACAAGAGAATGAAAATATATTCTTATGTTTATGACTCACGTAACAGCTGGTGAAGGCCCGACTAAATGTTTCTTTCCGATTCGTGGCTCTGAAGAAAACTTTTCTTAAAGGGAAGTAAAAAAAAAAAATCTGATTTGTGAGGAAAAATGGCAGGAGAGAAAAGCATATAATCACAGTCACTTCTTTGATTTCAAATCATTGGAATAACTGAATATTGTGCGGGGCATTTTTAAGAATTTACATTGACATATGTGTAGGATGCAACCATATGCAATAACTAGGTGTTGTTTTATTACTATATATGATATAGTTGAGGGAAATTTTTAACACAATTTTTTTCGCACGCAGCAATTGGAATCCTGGAGAGCCCAATAATGTTGGAAATGAAGATTGTGCTGCTGTGTATGCTAGCTCAGCCAAATGGAACGATGACGGCTGTAGTAAGGCCAAACCGTACATCTGCAGTAAACTGTCCAGTAAGTGAACCCACAGATGCTTTGCATATATGCACACCGGGCCAGAGCACGGTCGATCCGGCTTCATCTTCTATACCCCAACAACAGTATTCGCCCAAACTACAGGTGGGACTGTAGTTGGGATCTTAACTGCAGTTCGGGCTGACCCAGCTATAGTTGGGACGATGTCATATAGTTGGGGTGTAACAGAGCTACATCGCACAAAATATTGCTGTACATTTTCTTTTGGCTGGACAAAAAAAAACCAGTCACAAATAAATACACATGTACATCACAAGGCACTTCAGGCAGAAACCGACATTGTATTTTGCCTAGTAAGCAAGTTTATTGATTAACCTGAGCTTTGCAAAATTGCAAATAATCGTGCTAAGTAGCTCTATTCACATTTCTGGTTGATGAATTGAGTCCAGTCGAGTCATTTTTGTTTATGTTTCACTACTTATAAAGGGGTACTGTCGTCCAGAATACAACCTTTGCATCTGAAAACACATCTCTAACAAACAAATATCAGACAGATGTAAAAGGTTTAACATTCATTCAACTTAAGGCTTGAACATTTGCAAAGTAGAACGGACTATGACACTTCGTCGGATGTAACCAATCAGAGCTTTTTTTTAAATATATTTTCTCTATAACACAAGACATTGTATTTGCGACCCAGGTCATCAGTAAAAATGTATACCTGCATTCTGGTGATCTCGTTTTTCTCCCCTTATTTCTGTCAGCTGTCCTCGCCGTATGCGACGAGTCCAATGGTTGGAGGAGTTACGACGGCAAGTGTTACCGGTTTGCGAGTGGCGCTGCAAAATGGAAGGATGCCGAGACCCAATGTGGGTTTTTCCAGGGGGGTCACATAGCATATATAAAGAAAACTGACGACCAAACCTTTCTGGACAACTTGCAGGTCACTCACTCAAGTAGTTACTGGATTGGATTGCAAGATAAGGTACGTCCACAATGAAAGGTTTTCCCGATTATTTTAACTCTTATATATCACACACATTCCTATTATCGATACTTTAATTTTGTCTCCGAACGTCGCCAAGCTTAATTCTCAATTTGAATTTCAAGTAAATGTGACTACATTTAATTTAAGGTCCATTAAAGTTCATTTTTTTAGCAAACCGATTCGTGCTGAATTCGTCAAATTCGTCCAGTGTAGCAATCGGCGTTGGATTGAAGCAACAAATTCGGGGTTTTTTTGTCATTCGTTTTAATTGTTTTCCATTTCGTTTCTGGTGACTTCAAACGTAGGATTAGAAAATGTACCCAATTTTTGGACTTCTTTGAAAAATTGTGCGCATTAATACAAATTGTAATTTCAACCTTATTGGTAAATAAAAGTATTGCTGTAGGTTTTGAATCTTCTCTTTCTGTGTGTTTCACAATTAACATTAGACTCGGGTATAGACCCTTCACAATATTGTGCTCTTTACCTACGGCACAAAAGTTAAACATTAAGTTCCGACACCTGCGTAATGTTGCTCTTTACAGACCTAACTCCTGTGGTTTTAAAAAAGGGGAAGGAGAAGGCCCCTTTCTCCCTCCAAAATTGTTCAAGATGGCCGCCAGCTTTTGTTTTTAAATGGATGCCACTGGAATCAGGAAATGACATACCAGCTTTATAGACCTTTCTTTTGTTTGTAAACATTGACGCCATTTTATAAGGACTGCCGCAAGGCACATACATTTAAGCCGGGGTTGGCCTTATATTTCCAGAAAACGTCCTCATTACGCCTTCAATACATAGTCAAAAGGCATGTGTGGAATATGTTGTAGGAGATTTCCAACCTAGTTAACTACGTACAGCTTTTAGTTTTCTTTCATAACTCTTCTTCATTTTTGCAGTGGTGAACCTTCCATAGTTTTGCAACCCAACCAAACGTAGAAAGGTCTATATGGGCTAGATGCAACAGACAAAGAGGCCAAAATGATGTCACTGTTTAAAATGTTTCTTAGGTTTTTTTTTCTTTTCTTTTTTAAAACAAAAAAGGAGGCGTGCCGGGACGCTAAACATTAGTGGTTTTTTATTTAGCCTTAATGATTATGCTTCTGTAAATAATTATGCTCGTTAACTTTGTTGGTAATTTTGAGCAGGCGAATGGAAACGACGGAGACTATCAATGGTCAGACGGGTCAACCTTTGACACGACTGTTAACAAATGGGGAAACAACCAGCCAAAAAACCAGTAAGAATGTTGGAATTATATACAGTCGTTTTCCTAGTTCCGGATTTTTCCTAGTTCGGATAGCTTTAAATACAAAGCTATATCTTCTAATTTGGTCTCCGATACTTTTTTTTCTCTGACGAAGTGCATTTTGAACAGAAACTTCTTGATACGATCTTTTTAATGAGATTTCTAGAGAAGGAATTTTGTCCAGATTTCTGACTCGCAATTTTGACATGTTTGGACGGCGTGTTAGAAAATCACGGGAGCTGCGAATCGACGATAAATTATCTTTCTTCTCTGTGCATCACTCAGACCGTGTGATTTCGGATATTTGTTAGTACTCAGTCCTATAAATTCTTGCATCGAATGTTTGGAAAATCAAAATAAATTGTAGAGTCTTTAATACACGAAAAATTAACTTATTCAACCGATCCAGAACGATGAAAAGTGGCATGGTTACTTTTGACGTCGTAAAGTCAAAGTTAAAAGAGCTGAAATTTGGAAAATTATTGTGTAGTATCCCCACTACTCCAGGTAAACTTTTTAACCAATGTCGCTTGAAATTGTTGATCAGCTAAGCCGAAAGCAACCTAAATGATGTATTCTATATGGAACTAGGGAACGACTGTATTGGTTCTTCTTATACGTAAAAAAAACAACTTGGAGTTTTTTATATTTTATTTTCTTTTTGGCGGGGGTAACAAAAATAACAGGCAGTGTTCTCTTTTAAAGAACAGTCACACAAGAGTTTCTGTTCACAATGTTCATTAATACAAATTTGGCAGCTTTTATGCAATGATTATGTATTTTTTTCGGGGGGGGGGAGGAACTGAGGGGTAGGATAAGGGTTCACACTGTTGTCCCATTTTCAAATCTTTTTTCGAAGGGGATGTGTGGTTTAAGTAAAAAAAAAAAAAACGAGTCGTCTGCATGCCTTTTTTTTTGGTTTCATGAATTTTAAAAAAATTGAGACGTGTTCGGGGCCATATCTCCCGTTTATGAACATTTTGTCAATAGACTAATTCGGCGAACAATATTAGAAGCCAATTTTTGTTTGGTGGAACCGTGCTCGCGCTTAGGTAGATTATGCACACACTAAGGGCTTCTTTCAGTATAGGTAACCGAAATGCCCACCCTCGCCTTTAAGAATACGCGTGTGAAAGTTTCAAAAATGGCTTCAAACTTTGTTCGCCGAATTTAGTCAAAAGATATCCATTTCCAACTTGTGTGAGTGTATAATGAATGTGTTTGTTTTGTGGTATCGCAGATGGTACGGTCAGGAAGGCGATTGTGGCTACGTCTCAACCTCAGGAACATGGGCCATCGATAAATGCACAGCAAAATATAAATATGTCTGCGAAATTCCTGAAGGTAGGGGAAACGCTTTAGCACACTTCTTTGAAAATATCACCAGAGGAGCGCTGAAGGGAAAAAAAAGGAAAATTTTAGCTGAACTTTTAATGAGTGAATTAATTTTACGAGACCAAAATCAAGTACTTGGGATATGGAATGCTATAGCATCAGTGGCGTAGCCAGGAATTTTTCAGTGGGGGGCGCTGTGGGGACTGAAACATTTCATGGGGGCGTCATGTAGATCAATGATAATTTTTTTAGAAACTCAAAATCTCAGTGGAGGGGGGGGGGCGACTGGGGGGGGGGACTGGACTGCTGTCGCCCCCCCCCCACGCCCTAACCCCTAACCCCTAACCCTAATGGTCACCAATCCCTTTTAGTTCTCTGGTCCCCTGCCCTAACCCTAACCCTAAGGACTGGGGAACATAAGGACTGGGGAACGGGTGTGTACCACCTATGTTCCCTGGGTCCCAAGTTCCCCGGTCCCTAACCCTAACCCTAACCATGCACTAACCCTAGGGGCGGACTGGGGAACATAGGGACTGGGGAACACTGGGTGGACCCCCTTGGAAACATTAATTGTTTACATTAACTGTTTACGATTACTGGTGTATATTTTCACAGGCACCTGTCCGGTGGGTTGGTCGGCCCATGCAGGCTTTTGTTATCAACTGAATGCAGTTGCCAACAACCTGATGACTTGGACTGATGCCAAGGATTTTTGCACTACCCAGGGGGCATTTTTGACACCCATTCTAGGGTAGGTAGACTGGGCCTCATGCTAGTTTTTTTCTCTCATTAAAGATCCGTGTGTCTTCTGCTACATTGTTTCTTAGCTCTGTTAAAATAAGGTACGCTCTCAATTTTCATTTCTTTCTGTCTAATAGTAATATATCCGGAAAATCACTGTTCGAGTCTTCGACAATAAATGTACATTTTTCTTTAAATGTCAAAATCATCCCCAACATTCTTTCTCTCCATAGAGGAGTACCATTTTCGTCAAGACAAATTAAAATCAAGATTCTTGGTTTCCATTCTGTGAAACATAGAATGGTCACTTCTGTGGATAAAACTGTCATAATAAACACATTCGTTTTTAGCATTTGGACCATTATCATGTTGTAGCCATTTTATTTTTTTCACTTCAAATCAATGTTACCAAAGCGAGGCTGGAAGGAAAAATAGTCTAGTTTTTTTTGCGCAAAATCATTATCATTCAGTACTGTAATCTGAAACAGGGAACATGACGGAAATGGTAGCAGCGTGATCAAGGTCTATTGTCAAGTAATGAAAAGTATTAAAAGGATGTTTGTTAACTTTGATTTGAAATATTCTTATAAAACTTTGAATTTGGGTTAGGTGTTCACATTAACCCTACTCTTCCATCTCTAAATCATGAAATATGAATTGTTTTAATGTGTTTTTTTTTCCTTTTATGTTCTTTCCCCCCCCCCCCTTCTCTCTCTCTCTCTCTCTCTCTCACTGAACACGTTTATAGGGACAGTGAATATGTTTTTGTGAAAAGCTTCCTGAATGGTCTAGACAGCAATGGCATCCAAGACCTCTTCTTTGGACTATCAGGTTTGTCTTACTTGCTCTGAGAAAATCCAAACCAAATTGTCAACTTTAGAGTCAGGTCTGAAACCAGGATGACCAAGATGTAGGATTAACTATTTTCTTTTAAAATCTGGCACAAAAAAATAAAAAATTGTGCTGTACTGAAGTGGTGATAATAGTTTCATTAGTCGGATTAAAAAAAGAAATTAAAACGAAGTCTTGCAATAACATAATTTCTTTACGACTTCCCTGAAATGAAAAAGAAACATGGCAAGAAATGCAAAAACATGGAAGTCAAACAATTACATATATTTGAATAAATCATCAGGTGAAAATGCACATAATCACTCTCGTCAAGAAAGAAAAAAAGGTTTCATCACCCTTTTTTTGTTGTGGTTTGCTTTCTCAGTCATCGCTATCATGTACTTTCTTTCCCCTGTACAGATATCAATGTAGATGGAACATTCAAGTGGGCAATGGATAACTCCAAACTTGGAAGTTACAAAAACTGGGCCCCAGGACAACCTGGGGCTAAAAATGGACAGAAGGATTGTGCATACATTAAAACAGGTGTGTGTAGTGGCTGACCCAGGATATAATTGGTCAGGAGAGGAGGGTTGGACTTCAATGACGCCAGGGCACTTTTTTATGATAATACCACTACGTTTAGTCCCTTTTACCAGCAGTTTCTAGTGTACAAGTTTCAATAAGTTAAATTTATATAATTAGCTCAGGGCATCTTCCCTTCCTTTTGTTCATGCTTTTTTTTCTTTTGCTCTTTGGGAATCAGAGCTGTAGCGTATTTCAGCTATCCAAACATTAAAAACGGCATTGATGTGGAATGCATTTGATGTTGATTAATTTGGTGATTATTTCATCCTTTAATTAAGATGATTTGTTTGTTTGTTAATTTTTTTCAGCTGATGCCCAGGGTCTGTGGTATTATGGCGATTGCTTTAAGCTTGCTGCCTTCATTTGCAGAATTACAAAAGGTGAGATTTTGTTTGTTTGTTTCCCTACGTCGCTCTATCCTAAATATTGATACTTGTCCCTGTACCCATTTTGCTGTTGTAGAACAATGTAATGATTTTTGAGAATACATGAATGACTTGTATAGAAACATGGAACATGATATGGAATATATGGATTTGTACGTGAGATTTTAACAGAAAGGTAACACTAATGGTTGCATTTGTTTTTTGTTGATGTTGGCTCAGGTTATGATTTTAATTAACTAAACAACATGCTTTGGCTGTTGTTGCAATTCTAACATCAGCCCTGGAATTTGTATTGACTTATTACAGGAGTTCCTCTGACGTATAACCCACCTGGGCCTAGTAAGTCCATCTTATTTCATCTCCTTTTTCTGTTCAAAGATTATCCACTTCTTTATGTTTGACCCTGCGAGGTGCCTTCGGGTGTTTTTTTTTGGTTATAATCAACCACAATACTGAAGTTTTCAGTATGCTGGTAGGGGAGATCCTGGAATTTTTGCAGGGAGGGGGTCATCAGCTTATCAATGCTGAAAAGTAGACAGGGTTTTTTTTTCTCCGGACACTTGGCCTCCGTAAAATTAACAATGTATCTCTATATAAAAAAAGATCCCTTCTCTTAGTGTCGAAAAAGATGATTAGTAGCCATCTTTGCGCGAAAAAAAAAATTTCAAGCCACAAAAAGTGTATACATGCCCAGATTACACCCTCCCCCTTCAACAACAGCCTGATGCTAGATGTATATAGCTAACAAAAGATGAGGACCACCTATTTCCCGGCTTCAAGACTGTGCCTAGTGACCGTAGTATTGGTGGCCTTGTGATAACAGCGGCTATACTTATAACACATTACAATAACAATACTTTACCTGACAATACAAATCCTATGGGAGTTGGCCTGGGTCTGATCTTTGCCTCAGAAATTATGGATCAAAAGTTCAACCAGGGACACTCACGATGCTTTTAAGCTATGTCTCAAAGGGGAACTTGTGAAGCATTAATTGTTTTTGACGAAAAATGACGGAGTAATGAAACATTATTTAAAATGCACTGACAATGTCAGTACTTGTGTGCATACCACAGTTAAAATATATTTTAACCAGATTTGTAAAGGCACGTGGGATTATTTTTGTGCAAAGAACTTGGCCAAATCTTTTGAGTAGGATACAGAACAACTAACCTGTTGAAGTTTCAGCTCAGTGGTGTTTTTAGAAAACAGAAAACGTGTGTATGATAGTTCTGTCCCGGAACTGAATTCTAAACGCAGATAGAATCACGGGCACAATTTTGTTATCATTTACATATCCTGTTCTATCATTTACAATTCCGATTTTTGTTTTGAATAGTAAATGCGTATTGTGACAACACGGATTACGACTTGTACAACAACCTCTGCTACAAAATCATCCCAGATTCGAAATCTTGGGCCGACGCCGAAACAGCCTGCGAGAATGAGAACGCTCAACTAGTCAAGGTGGAAGATGATGGAGTACAGTCCTTCATGTCAAGTAAATTCGAAATGTATTTTTGTTCAATTCAGGAAAGGACAATTTTGGAAATGTGCGTCGCCGGTGAATATCTTCAATGATATTCAATGGCTAGTATTAAAGCAAAACTTGTTCAGCTTAGAAGAAAGTGAGCCAAAAAGTAATGTTCAGACATTCCTTTTTTGAATATTGCTAATGTTTTTAAAATATGTTTTGCATCTGTGAATTTAATTTATTGGGCAAAAAGGAAGATCAGCTTCTTTGCGAATTCCTGGGGTTACAATTTTTTAGAATTACTACTACATGTATTGGTAATGTTTCATCAGAATGTTGAAATGTGTGTCTTATAGGACTCCTTGAAAGTTTCATTTCTTGGTATTCTCAACACTGTTGTGTTCATTGTCTTTGACTGCCGTTTTCATGAATCAGTTTTAAATGATGTGCGCATTATATTGTATTACATGACTGGGCTAGCTAGCAACAGATATATTGTCTCAACGATTTTTTGGAATAAAAATAATCATATGAATTATCTTTGTTCCGGTTTTTAGTGTTGATGAAAAGACAACAAAATTAAACACGTTACCATGATGACAGTGCTATCAGTTATCTTTAATTTAAAAAAATGCTAATAAATTTTCACAAATTTCTACGAGCAAAAAAACCTTAATTCTTTAATTTATTGGATGCTTTTGCAGGTCGGCTCAATGTAATCAAGAAGCGTGTTTGGATTGGACTGACAGACAACGCAATTGCAGGCACCTACAAGTGGACCGACGGGACAACGGTAAATTAAATTTAAAAAAAAACACAAAATGTGTTGGTTTTTTTTATAAAAGTTATTTAGGTGTTACAAAAACCAGAAAAACCACGCGCGTTAAATATACAAACTTTGTACAGTACAGCGTTTGTGTGACAAGTACTTTTTGGAAAGGGGGCTTCCGGTTACTGTTAAAAACAATATACAGCAAATTTTTGGGATGTAAGAATTTCAGAAATGGAGAAGACATTATTTGGGAAATGTCTCTCTACGTGAAAGCCCTATGTTCTTGATTCACCGTGACAGTGTGAGAGTCTGTGGTGTGAGGTTTGTCGTAAAAAGAGGTAAACCGCCATTCATCTGACACTCTCAAAGAAATAGACAAGTTTTACGATCTATTGATCTTTTCGATCAGGCATATGGCACCCCAAAGCTGAATTTATTTAACCCTGCACGGCACCTGTCAACATGAATAAGTTCCGCTTTAGCATGCCATACTGGCCATTGTAAAATAAGCAATATTGTTCTTACAGGTGATTTTAACTTCCTTTATGTTAAATGGGACAATGGCGAGCCTATTGTTAGTAACGCCACCATAAATGAGATCACTGTATGAATCATTTCTCCAGCTCGAATTATTTCAGTGCACCTACAATCCTGGCGGAATCTCGCTGGGCCCCCAGCCCCCCCCCCCCCCCGGCCCCCGTTCAATGTTGTCTCTCATTGCGCGGTGTGTACTCAGTCAGCTGGAGAGAACAACATTGACCGGGGGAGCGGGGGAGTGGGTGACCGTGGCAAGCTCAGAAAGTGTCCCAGCCATTTTGGCCGGGATTGTAGTTATCGGTGCACCTAGTTCGTAATTTATTTGAAAACAAAAATTTAATTTTATTTTGGTGATAATATTCTAGCTTGGTTCTTATAACAACTGGGCACCAAACAACCCGATAACATCGCTTCACTGTGTCACCTTGACTGGTGCCCCACTGAACTACGGCCTGTGGAAAACGAGAAAGTGCACCCAGAAAAACTACTATGCGTGTCAGAAAAAATCACGTAAGTTTGAAAAGTTTTAGTGAAAACCAGTAAAAATGGTGGTTTGTTTGTAAAGCCTAATGCACGTGCTGATTGGTGAAAGTTGTAATGCTCTGCACTTGCTGACTTTTACTTCCATCGTTCTACTCAACTTGTTTTATTTGATTTTGAACTTTGTGAAAGATTTCGCTAGGTCCGAAACATTAGGCTCTCTTTCATATTATTTGCTGTATTGAATCACCGTGACAGCATGGTTCGACTTTAGCACTAGCCCGCTAGCCAAATGCTAGTCAAAACAGCGGCGGGCAAGTCAAACTATTGATGAAGTAGCCCGCCTGGCGAGTCAAAAAAATTATTGGGATATGGCAAAGATGAAAGGACCGGAAGAAATGAAGCATTAAAGTCAGAAAGCAGACCTGTATCAAATTGTGTGTCTAATTTGATTAACTGTTTAGGGTTAAATTATTACATCTGTTTGTTTAATTTGCCTCAGGATACACGGTTTACATGTATGCACTGATGTTTATGAGATAAAAGAAAAACAGGCGGGCAAGTGCAAATGCCCGCGGGCTAGTCAAGAGTCGTTTCGGTAGCCCTGCTGGCTAATGAAAATAAAAACTGAGGTCAAATCCTGGGACAGTAATAGACAATCGTGGTAAACATGGGCCAAGAAATCTGCATTATTTTCTGCTTCACAGAATAAACACCTCCCATCTCATTCAGCTTGAAAAACCAGACTGAAAAAATATACCCAAACAGCATGTACCATGCACACAGTGTGCATCGTACTATCAGTCTTGTACCACATGATGCCGTACCCAAAATAGCACAAGTTAGAAAAGAAAAAATGGGGAAATATTGGAAATCATCAGGTATAAGCAACCCTCCCCCCCCCCGCCCTCCAAATCATGCAGGCATGGAATTAGTATGGTATGTTAAAGAACGTGTTTTGGATTGAATGACTGATTTGTTACCCACAATTACCTGCCATTGAAGTGACAATTTATTCTTTTACTTTACAGAAAGCGGAGTCGGACCAACGTCTAAACCAAACCCAACAGGTACGGAGATACAAATTCTAGATACATGTAGTACTTAAATATGGACAGTTACTTGGGCCAATGAAACAGTTGGCCTGGGCCTCGCTTAAGAGTGAAATCTCGATTTTAAGACCCTTAAGATTTTAAGTTTCTCTTAATGTTTCTTTAATGTTTTTACCTAACTTCCCAAAGTCATTGTTTACATTAAAAATCTATAGCAGGGATGTAGTCGAGTCCACCACAAGTCCATCACAAGTAAATCACAATTCCCATTCATAGGTAACAGTGAATGCACAATAACAAAGGAATGCCTTTGTGGTCAAAGCTGATTTGAAAATCTTGTTAGTTGAATTGGGACATGCGGACTTGCAGGGTACTTGTGATGATTGGCTCGACTACATCCTTGACTCATGGTCTTACTTACAGTCAAGCCTGTAAGACAATGTGCTGCTCACTATAAGTGACTTTCTGGGTTGTTTCAGCTGGGTATTATGACCGCTGCGGTAACGGATGGGAGTACGACAAAGATTCCAACAAATGTTTCCTGTTCCGACCGACGGCCTACGAGAACTGGTTCAATGCCCGGATCATCTGCCGACAGGAAGGAGGCGATCTGCTAAGCATCCAAGGAAGTGATGATATGAATTACGCTAATGGTAAGCTAGAAACAAATCTGCTTATCTTTCACGTTGAGTGTTTTCAGTGTGTCGGCTTTGTGTATACGAGTAGCCAATCAATGGTCAGAGACGCGGGCTGGGAAGAGAGAAAAAATTGTAAGTCGAAGTAGCAATCTGTCGTTACAGTGGATGCATTAGTCAGTTTCCAAACTTCTTATTTCGTTCCTTGGTGGATTTTTTTGTTAAGTTGGTCAGAGTGAACCAAAGTTTGTTCAAGCCCCTGAAGGAACTTAGCATTTTGTTTGTGGAATATTATTGTTAAAAAAAACTAAATGATATTTCTGAGGGGGTACTGATATGGAACGAACTAAATCTACGCTCAATTATTATCGAGTTAGGTTTTGCCCTTCACCGACGTATAAACGCTGTATGGCCTACTCAGTGTGTAACGTCCCGAGTGAAAGTTGAAAAAAGTCAATTATTCTTTTCATTTCGAAGGTTCAGAATTTAAAATTGAAATACTTGGAAAGAATCACACCAATCTTGGGTGTTATTTTCGTTACAGGTCGCGTGAAGTCCTTTGGGTCTGGATTTACATGGATCGGATGTAATGACCTTGGCGTTGAAGGTGGATGGGGTTGGAGCGATGGCAAACCTTTCGCAAAGATCAACTGGGCTCCAGGTACAGCGTTGTTTAATTATACCCAGCACGATATGTGACAGAGGAGTAGCCACCCCCCCCCCCATCTCCCTTTACCCTATCCGATTCTTAAGTGTGACGTCACTTCAGTTTAAACCACGCCCACTTGCCATTAAGTAGCATGGAACCATTGGAACTGGAAGCTAACGCAACTCGAGTGGTTTATCCAATGGGCGCTAGTACCTAACACATCCACCAGATATCTCAAGCCATCCTGAAATTCTGGTAACAAAAAGACCAACACAAAAGAAGGGGGTTCCCTCTGTCACATACCCTGCTACATTATGTGTTTAATCGGACAACAAAATGACCATTTAATGACGTTTCGCTTTAACGAACTGAAGACAAAATCCTGTTTATTGAATCAGTGTAGTAAATGCACTCAAATCTCAAAAATAGTGTTTGTAATATTTGATATTTGAGTTGTAGGGATGCGTAGGCAAAAATGATGGAAAGAATATAGAATCCATATGCCACTTCAGCAGTTGTGTACAAAGTCTATGGAGAGTCAAGAATATTTTGTAACTATTTCCTAACAAAATTAGACAATGTTTCTCAGTCCCAGATTCATGTCTTATCTTCATTGTTGCAATGACTGACATGCAGTGAGATGATATATGACAAAAAGTGGCGTCAGATTGCAAAATTCTTTTCAAAATGATGTCAATAACCTTGAAGTCACATTTTTTTATACTCCAGAATGGCACTGTCGTAGCGCTCTCTATTGCTCAAGAACACGACCTATTACATCAACTGTTTTATAACAAAATTTCAATTAAAAAAATGCAACTAGAAGAAACTCTATGGTGATTCCTGTTGAAAATTTGTGACAAAAATACCTTTAGATATATAGTTGCGTTAGTATATTGTAACATGATCAAGCCTTCCAAGATATCAGTCACCTTTGGAATCTACTATTAAAATAAAATCATATTAAAAATTAAAAAAAAAATGATATATTAACTGTGTTATGAAAATAAATGTTGACATTGAATTTGTTTCGTGCAGGACAACCCAACAATATCGACACGTACTACTCAGGCGGCCAGCATTGCTGTGAAATTTGGAATAACTATGGAGATTGGAATGACGATGACTGTTACTACTCTCACTCATATGCCTGCAGTCGAGATGGTAAGATAATTTCATTTCTAGTAGTGGCAAAGTTATGAAATGTTTCAGCCAAGAAAGTAGCCTACTTCAAATCATTGTATTGGAGACATTTTTGCCAGAGCATTAAATACCAAAGTACAATGGAAAGATTCAAAGATGTATTACGAGTTTTGCTAACCTTGGGGCTAAGCATTTTAGATAGCTAGGTCGCCATAGGCTCCGTACAAGTTTGGTTCATCTCCATAACTGATTTTTGTTACATTCAAATTATTCAAATGTTTGTTCAGTGTACCGTATTAGCTCCATTCATGTACATTCTTTCTGCCAGAACATGAGTCTATCATATAACTTGTTTTTATCTGTGACTTTCAGAGTACGTCTTTAAGTATTTTATAACTTACACTGAGAAGAAAATGGACGAAACGGTGGACCTGCAGCTGGACGATATGTGGCCTAGGCAATGCGCAGAGCGATGCGTCCAGGAGACTTCATTTACATGTCTGTCATTCGACTACGACAGGCAAGGTCGGACTTGCTTCCTTCGGAAGGTTGCTAAGACAGCAGGCGGACTCTTGCCGACCTACGACACGCAACACTTTGATCATTACGAGAGAGGCAAGTACAACAGTTTTTGAAAAGAACTTGTGCACTTTTTATTAGTTTGATTCAATCTTCTTTTTTGTTGTCTTTTTTTCGTCAACCATAAAAGAAATCAAGACTCTGAAATGTTGTGCTTGGCAATATTGAGGTCTAGGTTTTGCATTTATAGCGCGTATCGGTTTTGTTAATGTGCTGATTGAAAATGATGTTGTTCAAGCTCTCTTTCAATAAACCTTGGCAGAATATTGAGTGGATTCTATAGTTCCTGAGATTAACTGGAAGTGGCAGCAGAAAGTCACACGGATTGGTGTCTCATTGTTTTTATATAGCCTGATCATTATTGCGATATTGCGAAATCCAGGAAGGTATAAGTAATTTTGACTGTTTTCAAGCTAAATTAGACACAATACGCCATTTTGTTTCCTCTTTTGCAGATCAGAATGTTCAACCACCGCTTCCCCCAACTCCCTCATCCTTGAACTGCCCTACGGGCTGGGGACGATACCTGGATAACTGTTACTATGCCAACTACGACAAAAAAGAATTTGTTGCAGCCGAGGCAGCCTGTCCAAACGGTGCCATGTTAGCTTCAGTGGCTGACGTGAATGTCAACCATTTCCTGCAGGCCTACGTCTGGGAACAAAGTATGTTTGAGTGGCATTATAAACATTAGGCCTGTTATGCAGTGACATCTCGACAAGTCAAACTCTGATAACGCAAAACAACTGTTAAGTCACACAAAGAATCCATCTCCTTCAGTAGTATAACAATGATATACAACCCTGCTTAGTAACTCAAAAAAATGCTTAAGTCGAATTTTGAACCTGTTCCCTTGAGGTTTGACTTATCGACATTTCACTGGAAACTTGTTCTTTAGAAATCGCAGTATAACCCAAAAATAAAATGCTATCAAGTTTGAGTTTTCAATACAAACAAATGAGAACAACAGTACAGATACAGTAATGTACTCCATAACTACACATACATACAGATGGATTTATTGTGGTTGCTGCTGTTGTTGTTGTTTGTTTGTTTGTTTGTTTGTTTGTTTGTTTGTTGTTGTTGTTGTTATTGTTGTTGTTGCCGCACTGTATAATGGCTGAACAGTATTAATCCATTCTTATTGTACATTCCAAATAATTTGCTTTCGCCACCTCTTTTTGTTATTTTCCAAATTGTCACATTCAAGACTCCATAAAAAATGTCGGCGATACTCGCTTTTGGATCGGGCTGCATGACAGAGATATGGAAAACGAGTTCAAATGGACCAACGGCGAAACCGTGACGTTTACCAGCTGGAACGCGTATGAACCCAATGACGTCAATGGGGAGGACTGCATTGAGATGTATATTGACAACGTGAGTATTGCATTTAATCACAACCCAAAATACAGGGTGAGTCAAAAAACACGAAACCCAAAAGTCGGGACTGTTGTTTCAGTGAAATTCTGCAGGTAGTACTTTCAAAATCTAGGGTATAAAAGTCCAATTCATAGGCTTTCTTTTAGTACAAGAATCATTCAAATCAATTATGTACTTTTCAAGTTACGGAATTTTAAACACAACCACCGTTTTAAAGTTCTGTCCACGGATCCCCTAAAAGGTGTGCGTTCTTTCAGCAAAACGAAAACAATTCACACACAGCCCTATGTGATTTTTTTCGTTTTTGCTAAAAGAACGCTTACCTTTTTGTGATCCGTGGACAAAACTTTAAAACGGTGCTTGTGTTTAAAAGTCCGTATCTTAAAAAGTACACAAGTGATTTGAATGATTCTTGTACTAAAAGAAAGCTGATGAATTTGGCTTTCATATCCTAGATTTTAAATGTGCTACATTTAGAACTTCACTAAAACAATTGTCGCGACATTTGGGTTTCATGTTTTTTGACTCGCCCTGTATAGTACCACAAAAGGGTGCCAATTTAAAGAGCATCTTTTAGGGTTCTCGCTCACAAATTCACAGCAATTTACCATCAACGCCATGATGGTTTCGGATCAAAGTTTTCATTTAATGGTGGAAAGCATGCACAGAGAGCAGTTTGTCCCCTTTAAAAGAAATAATTCCACTGGTGTAGTTTGGCCAAGTATTTTGATTTGGGTACATTTTGTTCAAGTAATACAGTCGAACCCTGATAAGAAGAGCACTGTTGATACAACATTCTGCTTAAAACAAGTCATTGCTTTTCTTTGTTTTCCATTACTGTTAATACAAGGTACCTATTATAACAGTGTAATATGTAAAGTCCAGAGGACCTTGTATTAAAGGTGTTCGACTGTAGTTTTATTGTAAATGTTGTGCAAGTGCTATTAATTTCTCTTGTACTATGTCCCGTGCAGGGCCTCTGGAACGATTTACCATGCAAGGGTTACAACTACGGCTCCTTGTGTAAGCAAGGTCTGACAAGTGGTAACCCAGCCCCACCGGTTGACGGCAACTGCCCCAGTGTAAGTATGCCGGGCTGAAGCCAAACACGTACACAATCATTTAGTGGAGAACGGCGATTTCGAAATGGAAGATTTCTCAATGTTCCTTCGACATTAGTGAGGCTCTCTGGCAAGATGAGACAGAACAGGGCAGAGGTTGAAATAAGGTTTGCATGCATTATGAAAGAGAATCAAATTCTCCTTACAATGCTGTTGGTAGCACGTCAGTTGGACACTCCGTTGACCAGTTATGGTTGTTGAAAGTTCACATTTATCGACATTTCAATACTATCAGCAAAAGGCCTCTAAATGTTCAACTGTTTAGTAGTCGTGAAAATGAAAGATGCAAAAAAAATTTCCTAAAAAAACCCACTATTATTCCATTATTTTTACACTATTACATCATAGAGAAGCTTTCTCTATGATTACATGTACTAGCACGTTTGTTTATGTGTAAATCGAGGATTTTCTTTTGTTCCTCTTCCCTTTTCCTTTGTTTGTACTCTCCCTTTTCCTTTGTTTGTCGCAACAGCTCTCATTGGTTTTGTTCACGTTTTCTAATCGAGGTCGTCATCGATTTGGTTCCTGTCCTCGATTCACCGATGATGTTGCACGTGTGTGTCCTCGATTAACACCAGAAACAAACGCTTAAAACTGTGTGTAGTAGACACATCAAATATTACCAATATTAATAAATCTGAAAATGGAAAGGAAACAATCACCCCAATGTTTTTCCTCCATTTTTTTCCACTACGGTCAGTGCCCCCAGTTGAGTAGTTCGGTCTCATTTTAATAGCCAGAACACCTCATATAATTATGAATAATATAGGTAGGGTAGCGGTATCAATGTATCATACGACTCGAACGTCGGTTACTTTTGGATGGCTGCAAATGATGGACAGTGCCTTTAAAGACATAGAAGTTTGGAACCAGCATGAATTGGATGTTGATTACTCATATGTGCAGTGGACACGGTATTATAATGGATTTGCCTTAAAGTTGTGAGATGGATCGTGTGAATATTGCATGCTTGTTTGTATCACCTTAGAAACAGGAAAGTTTGGTAGTGTTATTGGATGTTTCACGTTGTTTTTTGATAGGGTTGGTTGCCATGGATTGATCGCTGTTACCTGCTTAGTACAACCAAAGCTACATGGGATGATGCTGGTACAAACTGCAAGAAGACGTCAGGTGCCCAACTGGTGGTCATAGAGGAGAAGTAAGAATAAAGACTAATTGGGTGACCAAAACATATTGGAGGCGCACATACGGCACGCGTTCTGAAAGGCAATGCTGGTGGTCGAAGGAGCCCGGAGTGCATGCATACTGCCTGAGCGCGACTCGCGCGTACGTGTGCCACCTCAGAAAATGCAAGGCAGTCGCTGAACTATCGTCTTTACTCAGGTATCGGAAACGCTGATGCTACTGTTACTCTTCAGAGTACTGCACTGATTCTATGGCTTTTTTTTTTGCCTCTTCACATGATTATTCATGATCGTCTGTTTACTCATGTTCTTATCAGTCAGTTCTTGTAACTGATTTTGTTGTTAATATATTTTTTGCTCATTTCAGGTTCAGTTCTGGTCCCATGTCTGGTTAACGGTCTGGATCCAGTTCTGGTTCCGGTTCCGATTCAAGTTCTGTGTCCGGTTCCACTTCTGGTTCTGGTTCCAGGTCTGGTTCTGGTTGCAGTTCTCATTCCCGTTCTATGTCTTGTCTTTACTTCTCATTGAATTCTTTCCTCTTGCAGAATGGAGATGGCCTTCCTAAGTGGCCAGCTCGGTCAGCAGACAGGTGGTGTGTATATAGGGGAGGAGTTTTTCATCGCTCTGAGTGACAGCAAGACGGCAGGCCTGTATGAATGGATGGATAAAACGCCCATTACCTACACACATTGGGCTGCGGGTCAACCAGGTCAGTGGGTTTCCAATATATGGGTTGTGTATTGACCACCTTCGAGAGCCTTTCATTTCCATGGGTTCAGTCAGCAAAATATCCTATCGGATACATCAACGCTAACAAAGTCCTTTTTGGACAAAACGTGTGCGTAATGTCTAATGCGCGTCTGGCGCAAAGTACGCACGACTAACTTTATTCGGAATGTGCACATAGCCATAGCGCCTTTGCCTGAGCATTTGGGCCCAATTTCACGGCCTTGCTAAGCACAAACATTTGCTTAGCACAAAAAAAGTCTGGCTTATAAAAGCAGGTTATCAGCCAAAACTCCATGTGATTTTCATGATAAGCAAACAACAGCTGAATACTAATCACGAGCAATATTCATCACGTGGAGTTTTGGCTGGTTACCTGCTTTTATAAGCCAGACTTTTTTGTGCTAAGCACATTTTGGGGCTGAGCAGCGCCGTGAAACTGGCCCCGGCATCGTCGGCAATGCGTTCGAATGTCTCTCCCAGTGGTCTCCCCCAACTCTATCGTCTTTAACATTGAGGGGGTACTTGTGCACGAAGCCCATACCAATCGGCTTGTTTTTCATCATCTCTTTACGGTGTGGAATATCGCCAAGACTAGTCGGAATATTTTTTTTTACGAATAGCTATGAGCCTCGAAGGACTCAAAAATTATAATGCCAGTTTCTCGTATGGGTATCTTTGACATACGCTGTGTCAAATTCAGCATTCTTTACAACTTTTTGAATTGCTTTTTACCGGTAATGGATTTTTTATTCATTTTTTTTTTGGTTATGGATTGGTAATAGGTAATGGATTGTTTTATGACAGTAGACCATTATCATGTTGCGGCCATCTTGATTTTTTCCCATTCAAATTAATGTAACCGCAGCGAATCTGGAAGGAAAAATAGTCTGGTTCCTTTTTGCACAAAAACATAATTATCACTCATCGATACAGGGATCTTGACTGAAATGGTGGCAGCATGATAAAGGTCTATACAGATTAGCATATTCACTTGAACAGAAGATTGTATGGCTAGCCAGCTACAATACATTTAATCAGATATCAGTTTTCATGTTAAGGAATTAGTTTGTTTAGTCAGTTAATGTTTTAGCCTCTCTATATACCTACAATATTTCACATTTTAAGCGAGATGTCACTGTGACTTCTTCCGTCTTTCATCTTGTGTTTCTAATCTTTCTGGTTTGTAGCCGACACCTTGAAGTGGCCACGGCCTCGTGTCTGGGTGATATCCATAAAAACTTAACCATCGGTTCTTTTTATCGTGGTTTCAGACGATCGCACCGGTCATTGTGTCACTGTTACCTCGGGTAGAAACGCAGGCTTTTGGGTCGACAGAGACTGCACCACGAAATACCGCTACATCTGTGAGAAAGCTAAGGCTAATAAACCTCCCATACAACCACCAGTTATCAATCCAGGCACCACGCCGTCTAGTTCAGGCTGTGTGACGGGCTGGATAGGCTACGGCAGCCGTTGCTTCAAGGTATGAGCCTTGATAGTTTGTCTGACTAGATGATCGTCTTCAGGTTGCATTTGAGTGTGTCACTTGTATTAATTAATACAAGTATATTTCTGAGTGAATGCATCGGTAGATGGCGAGAGATCTGTGGGATGGACACGTTGCATACCGGCATCGGTTTGGGTGCATATTGTGCAGTGGTACACATTTTCTTCTAAAGTTGCACAAACCTGTCTTCGAGTGAACGCCAGGCGTACAGAAGCAACGCATCTGAGTCCCTATATTACCTCTCTCTCTTTGTAACGGAGGGAGAGGGTACTTGTGAACACAATCACACCAGACGAGTTATTTTGTAACTTACATGATTAGTTTCGGCAGAACTGTGGAGCGATGTGGCCTAAGAGCCAAATAGTCAAAGGAGTGACACGCTCAAATACAGCCTTATAATCCAAACTACATTTAGGTCATTTTCAACATCTTTACCTTTCCGAAGTATTTATTACAGATACACTGAAGAGCTTTTTTTTTTATAGAGATCGGCATTTGTTTGCCTACTTGTGCTTGAGCTCACTGATACAACATTATGATAGATAGTTTGCGAGTGAGATACTTCTTTTCATACTTTGCTCTTCTGTATTGTTGTGTGTGTTAATTGCGTAAATGTAGGCCATCGAGTTTGCCAATGCCGCCGACAGAGTTGACTGGGATGAAGCCAATCGGGTTTGCACTAACTTCGGCGGAGCGCTGGCCAGCATCCATCACCCAGACGAAGAGCAATACTTGGTAGATAACCTGTAAGTTTTAAACACTTGTTTGAAATCTGGATATAGGGCCAAAAAACACATCTGCTTCCGATTACATAGAATTTGAAAATAGGGTAGGTAGGTGGGTAGGATATTTTTTTCTGGGGGGTTTAGGTGTCTACGTGCAGTAAATGGTAAAATGCAGTAATTGATGGTTTTGGGTTTTTTCTCCTTATTTTTCCCCAAAACAAAATTAGGGTAGGGGCTGTCAAAATAGGGTAGGTACTAGGTAGGGAAACAGGAAGCAGAACAATTTTATTTTTCGGTCTAGTTCAATGGCTGTTTGAGTTGAAGTTACCGTCGGCCATATTACTACTGCTGTTATAATGTAATAGGAAAAATACCCATGTTTTTTTTAACTTAAATGAGCTGTCCATATTCTTAACATGAACATAAAATAGAACTAGAATATTTTATCTCCCCCCCCCCCCCCTCCCGATGGTCCATTCAGTTGCAATTTGATTTTCTTACGGATGACAAAAAGACACAGTTTTACAGATAGGAATTAAACGCCCAATTGGATGTTTGTTGTTCAAAAATATGTGGTATTTCAAGCTTTAAATGCAGGAAGAAGAATGACAATGAAGCTAAATTATAAACCGACCACGTACACAACTCAAATAGAGGAGAACTGTTTAAGCTGCTCTGGTAAAAAAATAATTAACAATTCGTGACTAATCATTCGGAATAAATGTTGGCTTAAACTGTTTCGTTGTTTCTTTTTCATTTTCTCATTTTTCAGCCAACTGACTACTAATCAAAGGTTTTGGATCGGATTGAATGACCAGCGAATGGAAGGAGGTAAGTAATTCCTTTCTTTTTTTACTATCTGAAACCTTCACAAAAACTCAACCCCAAGCACAAAAAAAGTCAATTCAGTTATAATTCAGTTATAATTCAGTAAAGTTAGAATTACGATGGCTTATAATAGATTCACTTTGATGGAAATCATGAAGGAAATCAAAGTCAAACGTTCTTTTGGGGGATTCTTTTACAATCAACCTTTCAACGAACAGTCACTTTACGAACAAGCATTGTTTGGTCAGTACTTTGCCAACATTGTAAGTATCGACCTTTAATATGTATATTGATGTATCTTGGGCCCAATGTCTTCGTAGATGTATTGTTAGGCGGGGGGGAGGGAGATTGCTTTGACAATTTATATATGCTAAGCGATTAACAGCGAACCAGTCACAGGCAATGCATGATATTTTGACTGGTAACCTGTCTCTGCTTAGAAAATATCTTGGGCTTAGCAGATTTCTATGTTAGCAGCTAGAAATTGACAACTCGTCTCAACTGTGCATCCATAGGTTACCGGTGGAGTGACGGCACAGCGGTGCAGTACACCAGCTGGAATGGGGGTGAACCCAACGACTACAGCGGCTCCGAGGAATGCGTGGAGACGGACTTAAAGGGAGGCAAATGGAACGACCTCTTCTGCTGGTACCCGCGCAATTTCCTCTGTTCCATACCCAAAGGTCAGGATCCTGAGCTAATTCACCCGAGTCTTGATTAAGTCAAAATCGGTTGTCAAACGACGTAAGAGTTGTAGTTCATACTTCTTCCTGCATTGTCCTTCATCTAAGAATTATATGGATAAGGGCAGTAAATAGGCCCGAAATTCCCTACATTGGCCAAATCACGATGTGCATGCCCTCAAATTTCTGGTATTACAGCATTTTGAAGACCATGAACTTGAGGGTTTCTTAAACAGAAGGATGGAACCATGCAGAGTATTGCGAGCTCGTATTTTCGTGAAATATGGATGAAATAAGGCCTTAAAATGGTTCCATTTGGCAATGGAGTTTTTGCGGCCTTTTTCAAAATGGCAATGGACTTCAGGACTTTTTTTCTATGGATGAAATTTTCTCCAAAAGGTCATTGTTTAACCCCAAAAAATTTAACAGACAATGATACATGATGAAATAAGCTCTAATTTGATTTGTGTTTCAAACATTTTGGAGAGTTGTAACTATTTAAAAAAATAATAATAATAATTACAAGTGCGCATAATTATCACTGAGGACTATGGCAGCCCCATTACCGGTCATCAACTCTATGCTATATTGGAGTACACTAACAGCGTTTTCGAAATGACTGGCCTTGGTTTAGTCGTCGGTTTAAGGAGATTTTATGCCCCCAACTTCTGGAACTCCAGCTACATTTTGGTGCCTGTTATGCTTCGGGAACATTCGATTGGTTGATAAGAAGCAAACATATTTTTGTTTAGTTTGCCTCTCAGTGATTCAGACGTCGGAGGCAAAACCGAAGACGAGGCAAAGGTTGCGAAAACTGAATCTACGCACAGGAACAGAACTTCCTCAATGGTTAAAAAACAGACATTTTGGGAGAGACTATACTAGTAAGGACTCTAGCAAGCGTCATCTACAGTTTACGCCCTAAGTTAGTCCATAATAAAAATCTGAGGTCCTTGGCTAATGGCCGGACTCTCGACCAATGATTAGTGAACAAAACGAAATCCTGAAAGGAAGTTTGTTTATCGATTGGAGTCATATTTTAGAACAATAAGCAAACAAGTGTCAATGACATCAACAAAAAAAAGATCAGTCTGCGTTTTCTGTTGTTGCCGTGCATTTCCACAAGCCAAAATAACACTTGCATCTTTCAACTCAGGTTTTTCTTCTTTTTGTTTATTTCAGGGCAAGCTGTTATCACCACTCCTAAGCCAACACCTCCCCAAGGTAACTGGCTGGTGTTGTTTTTTTCCAACTTGTAATATATTAAAGCCCTTGAATGACTAAGGCGGCATTAAGCGGGCAAATTATTTTACTGAAAACAAGTTTAAAACACTTGAGACATTTTCAGTGATATGGTCAGCTCACATATTTAGTGGTTTATGGTGGGTATGGGTTTGCAAGAAAAACTTCGCTCAAGTTCGACTCGAACCCATGACCGCCTGTTTAGTGGTGCAAACCTCTTACCTCTCGACCAACCAGCTGATGAAGCAGCCTTTACTACGATTAATTACGATTTTATATGACGGATGCTTTTTCATTTCGTTAGTGAAGGGCCATATCCAACATCGAATTTGGCTATTAAAATAAAAACATCAATCATATAGATCATGACAGTACTTTTTCTTTTAGAAACTCTCCAGCTTTCAAAGCTTCCTTTTTTTTTTTAACTACTTCATGGATTGCTGCTCTGTGGTCCAATGGTTACGGTGTTCGACTCGTGTTGTGGTACGTGGGTTCGAATCCTGACAGGGAACATGGTGCTTTTGTTCTTGGGCAAGGCACTTTACTACGAATGCCTTTTTTTCACCCAGGAGTATTAATGGGTACCTGTGAAGGTGGAGACCGGATTGCCCTGATCTCGAGCTGCTGTAAAAAATGATTCCTGATGAACAGGGATTGTAAAGCGCTTTGACACCTTTAGGTTTAAGCCGCTATTATAAGCACTACATTATTAATCAAATTAGGTTTTGCCCTTCACTGACGTTTAAACACTGTATATTCAGTGTGTTACCTGAAAAAATCACTCGGTTCGGACTCGAACCCACGACCTCCTGCTTTCTAGTGCAGATGTCTTACCACTCGACCACCGAGCTAACGGGATCGGTTGGCCGGTTAGAATCTGATGTACGTAACAGCGCAGCGGGTACCGCAAAACCTAATTTGATTTATATCACCCCGGTGCAAAAATTCCATCTTATAACATTACATTATTAAAAATTGTGTCGGTTTTCTTCTTATTTTCAGGTGGAGATTGTTATCCTGGGGACAGTACTTGGAGTCATTTAGCACCTTATTGCTATAAAGTCTACAATTATTGGTATGACTGGCATGGGGCAAATCAAATGTGCCACAATGACGATGCCCATCTGGTGTCCATCCACAGCGATGATGAACAAACTTTCATTAAAAACAGAGTAAGCAACCTTTGGCCCTCTCACTAGTACGGTAGATACGCGATTGGATTGTACTTTTTTTATGATACAAACATAGAATTTGGCACACAGTCAGATAGAGTATGTCTTAAGAAAGATATTTAGCTATAGGAACATCGCAGATTTGTCCTTTGAAAAAAATATAGGTAGAAAAGTAAGCAATGGCAGCCATTTTCAAAATTTTGAAAATAGGTTGTAATACTACCTATTATTTTTCAAAGGGAGCACGTTCCGTCGCAGCGCAGAAGTTGAAATTTTTCCAATCTTTTTCTACTCTTGCGACTGTTGATTTTATTTTAGTACCGACTGATGCCGATCGTCTCAATATTTGTCGCAAATACAGGTCGCAAACAAACCGGCGACTGGAATGTTCCCGACGGTCGTAGCTTGGCGAAGTCTGAGGAAAAGGCATTCACGTGTGCAAAGCCATGGTCGAACGTCTGATATATCCTAACATGCACAGGTTATGCAAACCCGGCGCGCGCCAGCCAATCGGAGTGGACTTTAAATAACTGTGACGTCATTCCGATCAGAAATGTGGACTAGGGTGTTGATTTGTCAATTAGCATACCATGTTTTTGTAATACAACAATGGGTTGCCGATGACCCCGATATAAAGGCGCCAACTGAATGGTCAGAATCTCGCGGTAAGACGCAGTACTGTTTTGCATAACTAATCACCGAATCTGCTCGCAGTAGACCCTTGCTGCGCAAGGGGATATAGACTAGATCAGGCGCAGCTTCATCCTGAAAATAGTCAGTCGCCGACTGTTCGATCGCCGACTGTTTAGCGTCATCGCAAGGTCGACCTGATGGCCAGTTAAAGCAATTAATATTCCAAATTTTCTATTGTTTTTTTTTAGATGACGTATTCAAACAATTACTGGATTGGTCTGAAGTCCAACCTGACGCATCCAGGTGATCACCTGTAAGTTAGAACCAACAATTCCATTAGTGTCAGATTGACAGGGGTCAGAGTGGGTTCATCAAGTTTTGTTGCCAAAAAAAATGCACTCCCTCCTTCCCAGAAGGAAATTCAATACTGTCATCATTAGAGTCAAACGTACGTTTTATTCACAGTTGCTGTGACAAACACACTAGCGGAAATAACCTTTTTAGACTAATTGTATTTTTTTTCAGGGACGTGGTCTTTCTCAACATCATGTATTTCTTTACAATTAAACCCAATTTGCTTCAAGTTTTGCATATAATTATAATATGAGAACTATGATGTCATCATGACATCATACATGATGTTATAACGATATCATAGTTCTCATGTTAGGATTACATTTGTTTTTTCTATGAGAGAATCTGATGACTCAGAAAGCATCAATGCCTGCTTGTTTCGCCAGAATAAAAAAACATGGAGGCATCCACATTTTGTTTCTGTACGAACAAACAACCATGAACGGGATAAGCCAGTCGCTGCAGCTACGAGCCGATTAACCTGTGATCGTGACTTCACATTAAGACAAGAAATACAAACTATAGAAATGTGTTTGTGGACAAAAACCAGCTGTTTCGTATCGAAAATCGTCGGGAGACATCTTCGGGTGGAAGTCTAAGTGTCTGGCACTGTCTGTCAAGTCTAAAGTCAATCAGACATACAAAAGTGCCAAAATGTATGGTTGGAAGAAAAACATGTACAAAACCTTTGGAGAAAAAAATGCAGCTTTAATGTGACGTAACTTGACACCTGATGGCGTCATCGTGACGATAATCTTCGGCATACATCTTAGGGTGGTTGTCTATGTGCGTGCCAAGTCTGAAGTCAATCAAATTTACGAAAGTGTATAGATATAAGAAAAAGCGTGTACAAAACCTATGGAAAGGAGTCTGAAAAAGAATTTTAAACAAAGAGAGGAGGGGAAAAATAATAATACTAACTTTACGAAAACGAGCTGTTTCTGCAAACGCTTTACTCGCTTTGAGCACATGCAAATACCGCTTGTTATTGTTTTACCTTTTCAGATGGGAGGATGGCAGCCCGTATGACTACATCAACTGGCAAAGTCAACCAGACCCAGGCAATGGGGATAAACTATGCACCGTGATGATTGGCGAAGACTCGGGTAAGCTTGGTCTTACAACAAATGGAGTTCAAGCGGATGCCACTTAGTAATCAATCTTTTTGCAAGTTTTTTTTTTTAAGCATGGTTCTGGCAGCAGAAGGTTCTAGTAAAAGTGGAGGAGGACGGTACACTTTTCTGTGTTGCAGGTTTTCTTTATTTTGTTTATGCGTTCTACCACAGAGTTCTTTCCTTGTCCGGGAGATTCCCTGTATTGAAAAAAATGACCTTTTGATAGCAAGTTTAACTCCTGAGTTATTTGTTTGTCCTTTTTTCCTCTCGCATTAAAAAGGAAATAAGGCCAAGTGGGAGACTCACAATTGTGGAGAATCGGGCCCTTTTGTCTGCAAGAAACGTTTGGATAGTGTCCCCGTCACTCATTATCCTACCAGTCCCTCGACCGGGGGATGCCAACCAGGATGGAAGCAGTACAACGATAACTTCTGTTACAAGTTTATGGGGCTGGGCGGCCAACAGGACCCCAAACTGAACTGGGGAGATGCCAAGAAGGCCTGCAGCGATATTATAGGAGCACACTTTGCATCCGTAAATGACCTGGATGTTCACAGTAAGCCTTCCATTTGAGGATTATTCTGTTAAGTTACTGTATTAATTTAAAGATGTTGACTCGGTGCACAAGTGCTCCTTAATGGTTACAAATGGAGAGTTATGGGGACTTCTGAACGCATTGGGGCCGTAGGCCCGTTGCTCATGTGAAGATGCCATGGGTTTGTGCAAGAAAACAAGCATGAATGTCCGAAAATGCTCAAAACAGGACCTTGACGAAGTTGACTTATATTCCGTCATCAAACTGTCAAATTACAAATGCTCTAGGATATAATTCTGGGTTCTGGACCTTGTGGGTACTGGCGGATAGACGTTATTCAAAGGTAGGGATCTTCCTTAAGGGCATCAGAACTAAGAGCATGTTGAGCGCATTATAGTGTCGACTTGATAGAAATAACCACGGGCGTTCGGGGGGGGGTTCGGCGGCCAAAGGATGGAAGCAGCCCCCACAAAACAAAAATCTGCCGGTGTCTGTGGGGAGGTTTCACAAGCATGATAATGCCAAACTTTGTAAGCACTTGTTTTTTACGCAGGATAATTTGCTGCTCACAAATTAGCGAGGTACCAGGGCTCCTACTTCCAAACTGGTTTTTTTACCATTGATTGGCAAAATCATTTTTTTTGGCAGGCACAAAAGACCTTGAGGTAGACATGAAACAGCCACAAATAAATTAGATTTGACTTCTCATGATTTATGCTACGCTACAACTCCTCAAGTGTGTGTTGTTGTTTTTTAAGTTTCATTTCATACATTGTACTGAGATCCATAACGCATTAGCCAGGTTAAATTAGATCCCATTGGAAATCACCTATAAACAAATTGTAAAATTGAAACAAAATGCTTTTGTTTTGTTATTCGATGACAATAATAAGCATCCTAGTACCCTTATTTTTTTTATTACACTCTTCTTGATTGTAGATGCTTTGACCGCTGACATGATCACGCTTGACGGTGACGTGTGGATAGGGATGTCGAATATTGGAAATCACGGCTCTTATCTATGGACGGACAGCAGCTCAAGAGGACTCTATGTCTGGGCCTACAACCAGCCTGTCTACGATTTTGTAAGGACAGTTATCAATTTTGTAGTCCAGACCTTCTTCTAAGACGTCATGCAAATATAATGACATGCAAAAGGCAAATCAAATGAGAACAAGAATATAATTACGATGCTTTGGCTATGAACACTGGAACACTGTTGGTTTGCATCCATGATAAATTGTGGGTTTAAAAAACAGTTTTAGGTCAAAGTGAAACAATTATAGGGATCTGCATGGGTTCATTGAAAGACTTGGTTTTATCTTGAAAAAAAATATTGAGGTCTTGAAATGTCTCAGAGAAGTTTCGAATACAATACTGAATTGTTAATAACATCACAATTGGTTGCGTCAAATAGGAAATATTAACGGGGGAAAACACAAGGAAAAAGAACTACATGCAGTCTGAAGGTCCGTGGATCAATTTCTTTGCTTGATATATATAACATGACATTTCAGTAACAGCAGATGACTACGACTTTTTCCATGTAGTTTAATATTGATAGCAGTCAAAGATTCATTGTTACCCTGAAATCCCTGTTTTTGCAGTCACAGAATGCCACATCTTCGTGCGTCTGCATGAAATACGAAGACGAGGAAAGTGGAAAATGGTTCAGCGAGGATTGCCAACTTCTGCACAGCTATCTCTGCAAAATGCCTGCAGGTGAGAGACACATCCACTTGTAGAACTATTCGTATGCTGATTGTCCAAAACACTCAGTAGCGAGCAATTAATAGAACCTCTTAAACCCGACAACATGCATTATAAGAACTCTGTAGCCTACTCCTGCAAGGAATAACATAGACACACCTGCAGAAAAAAAATGAGATTTGTTAGAATTTTGTCGATCTGCACTGGATTGACATGATTATCACCTACGTCACAGACAAACTTGGAATTTAGCCGGTTTGATTTCTTATACCTTCTTCCCAGAGAAACTAGAAGTGACAGAAGAAGTGAAATCAACGTTGTTGTGTTGATCACTCAGTCATTGGTCTTTTTCATCAATTATCAATCGATGTATAGAGACCTTTCTTTGCCAACATAACACGTGACACTTTTTGCCATCCACGGGTTGGCAAAAATTGAAAGTAAACGCTGCAAAAACAAAGAATGGTTATTAATGTTTCCAAACACATCATTGCTTGGTTGGAAATACAGAATAATCAACAAATGCTACCAAAGACTGAAACGAAATTCCTCTTCCTTACACAATAAGGGTGTTAATATGCAATTTTTAGGGCAAAACCTGTTGCCAACAAAAGCAGAAATGTTTGCCCTTGTGGCAGCCTATGCGACATTGTTTACAACAAAATTTTGAAAGGTTTATACCATCTTTGCTACGTTGCGATAATGCATCCTGCAGATGATAGCATTACAACCACACAGGCTCCGCCTACTCCTTGCCAAACCGCCGACGACAACCTCAAGGATTACATCCAGTACGGCACAGCCTGTTTCAAGGTTGACCTGAGCAAAAAGAGGACATTTGGAGAGGCAAAGCAGTACTGTGAGAACGACGGTGCTACCTTGGCATCCGTTCTGAACGGCTTTGAGCAGGCTAAGCTCGTGACAATGACAAGTGACGCTGATGACATGACCTGGATCGGTTTGTACGATGATCCGGTAAGCACCGCAACCTATAACGTAGTTTGTCCAGTGCGACCTCCAGAATGCATACCGGCGCTGAATGGACTCCATGCACGGACAGTAGAGGGCGCGTCATGACCAGAGAGCTCCTTGTGGGACGCACAAATCCCCATACTTCAAAATTCTTTTTAAAATACTCTGTGGATACGGTGTTCGACTTGTGTGCCGTGGTGCATGGGTTCGAATCCTGACCGTAGAAACATGGGGCTTGTGCTCTTGAGCAAGGCACTTTACCATTATTGCTTTGTCCTTCAGATGGGTCGTAAAGTCGTAGGTCCCGTGTGTTGTGTAATGCACGTGTTAAATAACACAGTAACACTTATCGCTAAGAGAAGGGGTTTGCCCCGGTGTTTCTGGCAGTGGCTGCAATATGCGCCTCAGCACCTTGTAAACCGTTTTAAGGTGCTACATAATGGGTCTCATATTTTTCATAAACTTTATTTACCTTTCTTTAATAATAGACATAATTTCCAGCGCCCTGAGTAACTTATTGTTGGTAGATACGTGTGCTATAAAACTTGACTCCGGTGTTATTATCATTATTATTCAGCGGTTGTGTACAAAGTCTGTAGACAGTCAAAAATAGTATTTCCGAACAAAATTGGAAATTTTTCTCAGTCACAGATTCATGTTTGCAATGACGGACCTTTATTGAGATGATATATTATGAAAAAAAAAAAGTGGCGTCAGGTCGCAACAGAAAAAATTAAAGATGATCCACAAGTCGTCTTTCATTTTCCATTCAACAATTTGTTGGTTCACCAATGACTTTTTGAGATATTCTCAGCCAAAGAAGACCACCCCTAAAACGAATCATATTTCCCAAACTTAAAAAGTAGCCATTTTGAAAAGGGCCAGAGATGCAGTGCCATGTGGCTTAATATATATGTATAACGTTTGTTCATGAGCTCGGCGGATGGATTTTTGGCCTATTTTACTTTGGTGCATTGGGAGGGACACACTGCGGGTGCACGCAATTAAGACCGTAGGAGGTGTGGCGTGAAGTAAAATGTGCACACAACTGTATCACGCAAACGGTAGTCCCTCCCAACTCTCACTTTATAACCTGACCTATGCCCCCATCTAATTCAGTGATTTACTGGCTACATGATTACTTGATACTTTGCTAGGATGCAAATAAGTGTTATGGAAATGGACACATTGATTTGGTAAATTGACTTTTTTCATTTCTCATTGCACTGTAATTACAGGACACTCGATTGTTCACGTGGTTAGACGGCTGGCCATTCTTCATTGAGTACTGGGGTTGGAGCTCCCCCAACGGCAACAACTGCACAGCTATAAACATGAACAACATGTACAGCTGGTACAACGGAGTCTGGGGAAATGTTGCGTGCGAAGACATGTATTATACAGCATGCAAGTACAGCACAGGTTAGATTTGGAAAATAGGCCCCCAAGAGATTTTGGAAAGTTTCAACCGCTTCAAGTGGATATTTGTCCTTTGGGTGGTAATGGGTAAACATTGAAATTATTACCAATATAGCCAAACAAAAATAAATAACAAAAGCATACATTTACTTTTTTTGTTGTTGTAATTTTAATGTTTAGAGACCCCACCCACTCCATCACCAACCCAAGCTGGATATTGCGAGATCGGCTGGAGTGATTCTGGCACGAGTTGTTACATCATGGGCACCGGCCTGTATGAAACAGCCACGTTTAAGGAGGCCGTGTACGACTGCGATAGGTACTACGACGGTGCGCATGTGGCAACCATCAGCAGCAAGGCAGAAAACCAATTTGTGATGAACCTGGCTCAGAAACAATTCAGTCTTTCCTGGATACTGATCGGCCTCGAACGAGGAAAAGATGGTGAGCTCTTTACAATCAATGTGGTTTGTGTACAGTTGTGGGTTTGAATCCAGCCTGTGGCTATACGGTGCGTGTGCCCTTAGGCAAGGTACTTTGTCACTCTTTGCTTCTCCCCACCCGAGAGTAAATGGATACCTGTGAGAGCAGAGATGGTTATTGTGGTTGATTTATTAAGCTGCTTTGCACCGAAATGGCAGCATCGAGCTGTATACTCCCCAGGGAGCTGAGATGATAATTATTTGGAATGTTTCATCGGCCCAATGAGCAGAGTAATAATGATGAAGCACCAATTATTATTATTTTTTTTTTTATTTTTTTTTTCTGCTTACAGGAGGCTGGGAGTGGATTGATAACAGTCCGCTGGCTTACCAAAACTGGGTTGATGACGCTTGGGATCATGAATCAGCTAACTGTGCCGAGATTCGAACCTATGCTCAAGGAAAGTGGGACACTATTGGCTGTGACGTACAAAGCCACTATGTCTGCGAGAAGGCCAAAAGTAACATTCTTGTCCCTCTGTTTGAAATGTTTGTGTTTGATTGTTTGTTTGTTTGTTGGGTGGGTGGGTTGTTGGGCTGGTTGTTGGGGTGTTTGTTTGTTTGTTTGTCTGTTTATTTATTTATTTCTCAAACCAAATTGGCTTTAAATGTGGTATTTTCAAGATATGTTTATTTTCCCTTTTCCCGTGAGCACATTAGTTTTTAATTCCTTTTTTCTTTACTGTGCAAAATGCATTCAAAAGTCCCCTTTTTAATTGCGAATGTAGCTGAATTTGCTTCAAACACGGTATTGGACAGAGTATTTTTTTTTTCTGTCCAGTAAATTTATTTGTATCAAATTTATTCTAGTCATTTTCAACGAGTTAACAATCGTTGCTTGGAAAAAGCTGTACATTCTTTCTCAGCCCAAGAATTACCTCAGCACCACAACATTGGGAAATAATAAAGGTGTTAAATGGAAAACACATATTGGAAAATGTTTACTGTTTGTAATCAATCGGCTAACTTTTAATATCCATCTTCTCCACCATTGCGTGTCTCACCTGAAATTAATAATCCATATTTCTTTCTTTTTTTCCCCAGCACTGATCACCAATACCGAAGCACCCTTTTTACGTAAGATTATAATTAATGCCATATTTTCATATGATCATTCATATAGCGTGTCAATGGTCCGTGCTTTATCGAACCGTTCTTGGTTTGTTTTAGTAGCCTGCTGAAAACCAGTCGTTTGAGTTAAGAAATTGACGCATTTTGTCTAAAGTTTCATCTGTGTTAGCCTATTTGAGGGATGGCAGACACAAAAGGAGGGCGCTGTTTGGTTTGATAAGGTCTTTTGTATTTATCCAAATCAAATAGCGCCCTCCTATTCCGTCGGCGGTCATACCTCCAATTGGCTTATTGGATTTGGGGAAAGCTTTAACTCGGATGAACTGCTACTCTAGATGCCTTTCAGTAGTTCCGTGAAAGGCTACCTTTTTTGTGAAGAGATTTAGTGAACGCAGAGCAAAGGAATAAAAAGATCTAGAGATCACCCAGATCCCTTTTATACTTCGTCAAATGTGTCAATAACTCAAAAGTATAAACCATTCCTTGCATGCTATCCACTGTTCATTCATGGAGGCCGCATCTAATGGCGAAAGAATCTTGCCAATATTGTTTCGAAGCAACTGCCCCACGGCCGGTCATTTCAAAAACAGCTGGCCGCTGCCTTTTGCCATTAAAGGGGGCCTTCCATGATTGTACAAGTGAAAGGTGCTCAGAATAGAGCATGCAAGTCTCGTCAGTCCACGTTCACGTTTTATGTGAACGTCGCGATACCAGACACTGACTATAGTCTAGTCACATACTCCCTTATTTGAATCTAACCACTTGGTATCGCCGTGATCGATCGAACGGAAGTTGAGGTCAATATTTAAGTTTTATTGTAGTCATCAATTCCCAATATTTTCAATATGTTGTAAATTGAAATGCTGTCTTTTCTTTCAAAGTACCCGGTTGGATGGACTCAGTCAGAACACAAAATAAATGCAAACAAAAATGGGATGTTACACACGTTGCAGATCCTATACACGGTGCCTGTATGTGCTGTGTTCTCCTAAATTCTCGCAGGTTGTTGAGGTCCACTTAAACGCTCTGTGGTATATGCCTTATTTTACAGCCAAAGATTGCGCAACTCAGTATGTGACTAGTGGATGGAAGGCGCTTCGTCAGTATTGTTACCTATTCGTACCCAGTTCGCTCTCATGGGATCAAGCTGAAGCTGACTGCAACACCAAAGGCGGCTACCTGGCGTCTGTGCTTGATGAAGACGAGCAGAATTTCATCAAGAATTTGGTATGACACAACACCAAATGCATCATTCTCTGTGACAAGTTTCCCAAAACCCCCAGTAGGAGAAAATACAAATGTTGAATTTAATCAGTCTTTGCAATCAAAACGATAGCTTGAAAGGCTAGTCACTGCATACAAGGAATTAAGATGTAAATTCTTTGTTTCATTTTAAGCTTTGCTTCCCAGCTATCAAAAATCCAAGATTTCTGGCCCGGACCTAATTCATGTTCAGTGAGCAACCATTGCTCACCATAATGCACAGTGAATTTGTTGCAGCATACATCTTTGAGTCTAGGGGCGGCGGAACGCTTTTCAAACTGGGGGAGGGGGTGCAACACCAAAAAGGGGCACTTCCATCTAGCTCGAGAAGTTATCGCGAGAGACGCACTATTGTTTTTGCTGGCGAATTTTCCATCTCGAGAAGGTGCACAATCTTGTTAATGCGCGAGGGGTACTTTTTTGGAAGGGCAGTTTTGCATTACAAGAGAGGAGACATATTTTATTTGTAGCGTGATCATGTGCTTCCATACGTGTGCGTTTAAGGGGCAGTTTTGTTTTAATCTCGAGGGGGGGCACATTTATAACCGCAAGAGGGGCACTTTTGTTGGCCTGGAAAAATCGGGGGGGGGGCAAGTGTCCGCCGCCCCTGTTTGAGTCATCTTTCAATCGTTATTCAATCGTTATTAAAAAACAATGCTTGTGAATCTTTTAGACATACATGTATTCCGTTTAACGACATGTTTACGTTATAGTTGTGGAATGCATTTTCATGTCTTCCTTGTAGGCAGGGCAGGATTATTATGCGTTGCATTCCTGGCTTGGACTCCGTAAAGACCTAGCAACTGGTGATTACAAGTAAGTTTGGTTGATTTTGGTGATCTCTTCTTTACTTTGGTATGTGTAAAACACAGCTAGCTACAATCCCGGCCAAAATGGTTGGGACACTTACTGAGCCTTCCACGGTCACCCACTCCCCTGCTCCCCGCTCCCCTGCTCCCCGGTCAAAGTTGTTCTCTCCAGCTGATGGAGCACACACATTGAACGGGGGGCGGGGGGGGGGGGCCCAGCGAGATTTGGCCAGGATTGTGGGTAGTTAATACTCAGAGCAAGAACGATCAATTTTATTCCCTTAAAACAATGGATGGACTGGATTTCTTAGTCTTTGAACGACGACGGACAACAGCCATACAAGTTGGCTCATATATTGAGCATGCCATGTTGTGTCCTTGGGCATACCACTTTCCTGCAATTGCGTATCTCCACCTAAGAGTTTTAATGGTAACCCGCATATCCTACCTTCCGAGTCGTTCACACCTATTGGAGACATAAACAATGCAACCTACTGAGTCGCGTTGACTCGAGACAGACATTTAAAACTGAATGAACAGCCAGATCTTGGAATGTCTTATTTGTAAAAGACTCCTATCCCGCAGTACTTCCGTCTCGTAGTAAGCTTGAAATTGCATTTTGTTTGTAGGTGGACGGATGGTTCTTCTACAGTTTACAAGGTCTGGGATACAGACGGTGAACCCGATGATCGTGACGACATGTCTACATGTGCACAGATGTGGCACGGTGAGAAGCAATTATATGCTGTAACTTGTGCTCAAGTACATGTACATGTTTTTGTACTCATGTTTGTTTCACACTATGTCATGTCCATTGCCCCACTAGTCTATCCAAACTGGTTTCTCCAATCAGAGTGTTTTGAGAGAGGAACTCGGCTTTCTGCCTGTTCTCATCGATACACCGTTGCAGTACCTAGATGTAGAATAGCCAACTTCTCCCACGTGCTGCATCTCTGTGGAATTCCTTGCCTGGTGCTTGTTTCCCTCCAACCTATGATCTGTCCCATTTCAAGAGGAATTTTAATTCCTATCTTCATTTTTTTTTGAGAACCTTCTCCTCTTGCTATTTCTCTCGTAGCCCTGTACGTTGAGTGGCTTTTAGCCTTGTGCATTTTGAAAAAAAATGAGAATGTGTTATGCATTGACTCGTACCCACAAGAATTATTGTCTCTACTTATCCTCGTACTAACTTCCAGGGAAAGGGACTTGTTCTTTAGAGAGGTACATTTCAGAAGAGAATCACTATTCAACAGTTTAGGAGGCTTTTGCATTTGTCTATTACATACCAAGTTTGACAGGAGTTGAAAACATGTGTACACACTGAAATGTGCTCTATACTTACCTATGGAAAGTAGTTGTTACTGGTACTTGCACTCGTAGTACTCATTATGCTCATAGACAAATAATTGTCTTGTACTCCTACTCATGGCAAAGTAGCTAAACTCTTACTCATATCCACATACCCATTGAAATGTTCTTGACTACATCAGTTATATATTTCACAAAAAAATCTTGGGGAAGGTTGTTTTTTAATGGTATTTAAAAGTGCATTTTTGTCCAAGGATAGCCAGAATTTAGTATTTGAAGTAACAATTAAGACCCAGTGAATACAATGCCCATGAAACAGAAGAGATTTCGAACCAGCCTATACTTTAATACTGACTCCGTAAAAACTGTCATGTGAACGTGAGGAGCCACCGACAATGCTTTCAGGTTTCTGGTTTGAGTGCCCTCCTGTTGAGGTAGTACGTGTGCATGCATGGGCGTCGCGAGGGGGGGGCAAGGGGGGGGGGCTTCCGCTTCCCCCCGGAAAAGCCCCCCCCCCCCCTCAAAAAAAAGGAAGGGAAAAAAAGAGGGAAAAAGAAAAGAAAAAGAGGCGCGAAGTCATATTGGTGTAAATTTAATGGGCTGAGGGGGGCAAAATTTCCCTGCCCCGCCTGTAAAACTGATTAAGCGAGAATATGTTGAGAAATACAGGATTTTTTTTCGGGGGGGAGGGAATATGTTTTGCCCCTCTCTAGAAAAAATCCCTGGCGACGCCCATGTGTGCATGCAGGCGTCCATATACGCAGGGCGATTTAGGGCTGTGATAATGTTAAGGCTCATATGCTGCCAAATGTGATCAACTTTTCGCATAAGAACCCGTTTCCTTCACAACATTTCACGATGGGCATAAGCAGCGAGGCAACATTTCAGTTCTGTCCAGTTTCACAGCGTTGAAGCATACCTCCATGATCATAGTACATTCACTCGTTGCACATCATTGTCATGTACTTTAATACTGACTCCGTAAAAACTGTCATGTGAACGTGAGGAGCCACCGACAATGCTTTCATGAGTTCCTCCCTGTGGTCCATCTCAGCTCTCTCTTTAGGGGTATACGTTATGCGCATTGAGTTTATAGAAGTATGGATGACGATGAAATTCATGACAAAGGCCATGAAGCACCATCAACAGTGTCTGGTCTGAAGCTATTCGTCAACCTGCTACATCCATGTTTATAATAGTATGACCCGTTACGTTCATGAGTGATGTAGTCGGCTCATCAAGCTGACAACCAGCTCAACTTTGCACAAGCAAAGATATCCTCTGATTCAGTATGTCTGATTATAACGCCAACGTCTTGATTTGTTTTCAACCCCGCAGATGGACCTTGGATAACTCACGACTGTGGCAAGTCAATATCGTACACTTGTAAGCGACGATACGACAACCAGAAACCTGTTACGAAACCTCCTCAGCCGACTCCTACAGGAAACTGTCCCAAGGATTGGTTCAAGGTGGAGAATGGATGTTACCAAATCCGAAACAACCAATCGATGTGGAACATATCGAGGGCTGACTGTCGGAAAGAGGAGGGCGGAGATCTGGCCGCTATACATAGTGCACTCACCCAGAGTGAGTCTTAAGCCCCAGTCACACATTCACGGTTTCGAGCTACAGATCTCCACGGCTTGAAATTCGTGATAAACCGTGGGAGTACCGTAATCATCCTTAGTACATCCGTGGTTATCCGTCATCTTCCTTGGGTATTCGTTCAGGGGCTACGGAAGTTTTAAACTGTTCAAAACTTCCATGGTTAAACGTCATGAAAATCAATTCGTAGTGAAACCGTACTGATTTTGTTATTATTAGCTATTTGCACATAATTCTTCGAGTTTCATAGCTCATTCGTGGAAGAAATCTCTACGAATTCGCTACGAATGTCCCACGGATAAACCTGGATGTGCTAGGGTTCTGCTAAGGTTGTACTACGAATATCCACGCTTTAGGAGAACCTTGGTCATCCGTGGCCCAATCGCAGACAACTGTGGTTTAAACGTCTTTATTCTTAGTAATACCGCGATATTCTTTACCAATCCGTCCATAGTCTTGACAAACCGTGTTGTATTGATAGAGAAACCTTAGGACAGTCGTGGCTATCCGTCCTGAAACCGCAGTGCATTCTAAGAAAGTCGATTTCTCCACGAATCTCGACGGTTCATCGTGATCGATTGATTCTTGGTAAACCATCGATAGTCACAGCTCCAAACTTTAAATGTGTGACGTGACTGGAGCTTTACATTTCAGCAGCATCTTGTGGTTGCTTTTGTTTTGAAAATAATGGCTGAAAAGCAATTTTGTCCTCTGGTGATGACTTCTTTGTTCTTAGGTTTCAATGTACAGAAATTACACGATTTTGAAAAATGGGTGACCAACAAAAAGCTTGAGTGAGTAAATCATGGGACTTGTTTCCAACAAATCTATTTGCTCACAACATTTCTTTGCTAATTAATATACTCTTCTCGTTAACATACTCTTCTCGGCAGCACCATAAAACTGAAGATGGCTTTTATTGTCCTTTTCAAACACTTGTTTCTTTGTTGTTTTGCTCAGCGTTTATTACGAGCATGATGAAAGGAGGAGCTGATGATCTTTGGATCGGGTATCGAACTCTGGATGCTAAAGAAGGCTGGGGCTACCACTGGGTAGACCAAAGTGATATTTGGTATATCAACTGGGCCAAACAGAGACCAAATGTTTATGTAAGTGTGATCCGAAGCGGAATGAAGACTTGTCGAGCGCCGATATCCGCCACAGATGGGCGCTCATGGCGCTTGCCATAATATGCCCATCACAAACCAGCAATTATGCAGCGGATTATGAAGTCAGAAATAAGGTCACAATTTATGTTGAAGTTGCCTCGGAGAACAAATAACTGTTCAGAGCTGATTTAAATCAAAAGGCTGTTGAAGCAGTTTTTGTAACGAAGCTGTTAAAGCCATCAGCACCTGTACTGCATTGTACTGAATTGTATTTATTATTCCCTGAAGAATCCATAAGTTCATACAGTACTTAGGCAGTTTCAGATCAGTGCAGTAAGTAATGAAATAATGAATTTTTCCGACTCTGAGAACACCTGTAGCAATACGGCGTCACGGGCGATTGGCGCTGTGTTTGAGTGCCCTCCTGTTGAGGTAGTACGTGTGCATGCATGAGCGTCGCGAGGGGGGGGGGGGGGGCAAAGGGGGCGCTTCCCCCCACCCCGGAAAAGCCCCCCCCCCCCCTCAAAAAAAAAAGGAAGGAAAAAAAGAGGAAAAAAGAAAAGAAAAAGAGGCGCGAAGTCATATTGGTGTAAATTTAATGGGTTGAGGGGGGCAAAATGTCCCTGCCCCCTCTAAAACTGATTAATCGAGAATATGTTGAGAAATACAGGATTTTTGGGGGAAAAATATGTTTTGCCCCCCCCCCCCCCATAGAAAAAATCCTGGCGACGCCCATGTGTGCATGCAGGCGTCCATATGCGCAGGGCGATTTAGGGCTGTGATAATTTTAAGGCTCATATGCTGCCAAATGTGATCAACTTTTCGCATAAGAACCCGTTTCCCTTACAAGATTTCACGATGGGGATAAGCAGCGCGGCAACATTTTATTTCTGGTCAATTTCACTGCGTTGAAAGCATACTTCCATGATCATAGTACATTCACTCGTTGCACATCATTGTCATGTAGCTTTGCTAGTTGTGTAATAACAACACACTGTATCATCATCATTATTTTGTCTTATTTCTCACAGTGGGAGCCCGGTTATTGTGTTACTTTGACAATTGATGATGAGCTTCCAGGCCGCTGGGTTGATGTTCCATGCTCAGAGAAGCATGGCTATGTCTGCTATAAACCACTCGGTAGGTTTAGTAACAAATACCACTGCATGCAGTATCGTACTCGTGTAAAACGTGCTTAGAGTGGCAATTGGTGCGAAACATTTTGACTGATGGCCACTGTTCACAAGTAAGCCATCATGTGTACTGTGCAGGCACTAGATAGGTGACTGGGCAGCATTTCTGGAGTACAGTGCATGGTCAAGAACTATTCTACTAACATCAAGATATTTTTTTTCTTCAGAATTTAAATCAGGAACTGTTGCTAGCCTAAAAAGAGGGACAAAATAATCTTTGTTAGGAATTGAAGTGCAACATATTTTTTTGCATAGGGCCACATCACCCCCTGTAGTGGAAGAGCCCCCCCCCCCCCATAAAACATTGAAGTGAAGTCTTAGAAATGAAATAATTGTGTTTTGTTTGATCCCAGATCCAACATTGCCGACCGCTGCTCCACCAGAGAACAACTGTCCTAAAGATGACTACCTACCGTACGTCGAAGACTGCTTCAAGATAAACATGGACAAAATGAACTTCGCCGACGCCACCAAATACTGTGCTGATGACGGAACATACCTAGCCACCATTACTAATGGTTATGATGAGGCTTTCGTCATGTACAATACTCTGATGCAAGGACAAGCCGGTGCTCCCCCAGATGCTGTGTGGATTGGTCTCAGAGCCGATAACGTAAGTATGTTCTTGCGATAGCGTAATGGAATATGTCCAGTATGCGAACTGTGGTTTGTACTCACAGGTATCTTGATAGACAAATCTGAAATTTAAAGTAAGTGGTAAATGTGGACTTGTAAAGGCTTTGGGGAAAAAAAATCAAAAGTTCAGGCACCTTACCCCTTCCGATGCCTCGAAAAGCATACCTCAGGTCACTGTATCCAAGTTAATGCAGGAGCGTTATAGGGATGAACGGAATGTCCTGGGTAGTGCTGCCAAAGTTCCAAGACTTGATATGATTCATCTTGGCGATCGCGCCCTCTAGTGCCGCGGAAGTTAATACGGTGCTTATCACGGACCGGCTGCGACAGGGGAATACAAGGCAAATTCAGTCTTGAACCAAGACTAATTTTGTTCCTGTGTTGTTGCTTCACTCTCCTGAAGACGGTCAGAGCATACTGACCGGAACGTCGAGTTTATACCTCTGGTTCTTTTCAGAACCATTCTCTTAGTTGAGAAATTATTCGCACATGGTGTTTCCGCAAACCTTTCATTATTTATGTTGTTGCTTCTGTTAGGATACCAGAGAGTACAAATGGGTAGATGGCTGGCCTGTGATATACACAAACTGGGACGTTTTCCAGCCCATGGAGGAAAACGGCTTGTGTGTGCAGTTGACGCAAGATACATATTGGCAAACGGCACCCTGTACCAACGACACCAAAGCACCCTTCATTTGCCGAACAACCACTGGTACAGGTAGGTTAAAAGAGGGGGAAAACATCAGTTGAGTATACTTTGTAAACTCTGCTCACAATTATATGAAATACCATCTCTTGGTACTGGTAAGGGTGTACAATTGGAAATGTCTGAAACGTAGTTCAAATTGTGCAACTGAAATCTTAAAAGATAGAAACGCTTGTTCACAGCTTCTCTCTATTTTCTCAAAATGCACTGTATCCACTGAGCTGATAGCGTAGCATGTTATATTTGCTATTCAACCTACGTCAGATTTTAAAATGTGTATGGTGGGAGAGAGTCACATGATCCTGCATCCTTTTATCTTCAATTGATTTTGCCTGTTCACACAGTTGTGATACCAACTGATCCAGCTCACTCGGGCACCTGCCCGGATGATTGGGTAGCGTTCCATGACCACTGCTACCAGTTCAACACCGACACGGAGGGCTACGAGTCGTGGTACAAAGCGTCGCATAAGTGTGAGCAAGACCACAACGGCCGACTTCTGTCCATACACACCAAGGCTGAGAATGACTTTATTCGAAAGAAGTTCAGTGAACTGTACCCCGACTCGTATTATTGGGATGGGTTATGGTTGGATCTCTCTCGTAACGCAACTGGTACGTAATAGCTCACGGGTGCATTTTTTTTTTGGTGAATTCTTTTTCTTCATAATTTGTGTAGGTCTACTGGTTTACTTTGTGTTTTTTTCTCATATATTTTGACATGGTTCACTAATCGTTGCAAGCCTATGCTTACACTGCTTCTGATCACCAGAGTGTGGGTTCGAGTCCCGGCCTTGACACTTGTGTCCTTAAGCAAGACACTTAACCATTATTGTCTCGTCCTTCGGATGGGACATTAAGCCGTAGGTCCCATGCATTGTGTAATGCACGTAAAAGAAACCAGTAACACTTATCGCTACGATAAGGGGTTTGCCCTGGTGTTTTGTTTCAAATACTTCATTTACCTATCTTTAAAATAAACTCATATTAATAAGCACCTTGAGTACCTAATTGATGGTAGACATGTGCGCTATATAAAACTCAGATATTATTAACACTATCCCAACTTTTTGATTTGTTTATGTTAAGTGGCAGCATTTTGGTTTAAAACTTATTTTTACTGTGAATTATAAAAATTACGATTAATATAAAATGGAAATTTTTTTTGGTAGGTACCGGTCATACTTCGTTTTATTGGAACGATGGTCACGCACTTGATTATAGTAACTGGGACAAGGGAGAGCCACAACAGAATGAATGGAATGACTGCGCCGCGGTGTTGCCCAAGGCTTATGGCAAGTGGCAGGCCCAATCCTGTGAATACGGAAACTATTTTGTCTGCTACATGGAACAAGGTACGTCGTGCATATTCAGTTGCATTGGTTTGGATACGTCAAATTGGAACATGTCTGTAGTCTTTCCCTTATGCCTCAAACTTCAATTCAATTCAATTCAATATACATTTATTTCCACTCTGTGGAGGCATCATCCCAAAAAGCCGAAGCTTGTTGTGAATGTGCCAAGCAAAACAAGACGAACATACTTAACATTAGTTAAGTATGTTACAGTCAAACAAAGCAGACACAATAAACAACATTTCAATGACGGCTGAATAAACTTAACGTAATAATGAATCAGGCACTCTGAAAGTAGGACAGTTTTTAGTTTATATTTGAATGTATTACTTGACTAGGGAAATTAGTTTAATATAGACGGGTGAAAGGTAGTTCCAGTTTTTTGATCCAGAGTTTGAGGTGTTGTCATTTCTGCTGGATTTTCAGAGTTTGCCCAAGAAAAATAGTACTTGAAATGACTCTGGTTGAAAAATAAACAAACTTTGTGTATTATTAATTGTCTTTTGACTGAATAAGTCTTTCAGAATGACTGTAACAGTCGAACTTTTGACCTTTCAAACGAAAAATTGTTTGTAATGTTCGTGTCCAATGCAACAATTCTGATTTTGTTTCATTTTCAGATGTAGTAGCACCACCCAAGCCGTACAGCGGTGGTAAGTATTTGGTTATTATTAATGGTAGGCCTAATGTCAGTAGCCCTATAAAATGGCCAGCAGCCTGACTACTGTTCGTTACCCTTGGCACAAATGAAGATTCATTCATAACTCTTTACACCCGGCCATTCCATGTCAAGGAAACCGGAGATGAACGCTGGCCTGACGAGTCACATCGAAAACTCAGACTTTACCTACCCATGCACGCATGTGGCTAGTCTGAGTATCACCCGTTTTCCACGGAGACAAATCCTGGAGAACGTCTCCAGACATGCAAATTTATGCAAGCCGCGCGCCAGCCGATCGGGGTCGACTTTTCTAAATCGTGACGTCATTTCATTCCTAAATCAGGACTAAATGGTTTGATTGGTCATTTCGAATGCAGTGCTTTGTAGTACAACAACCGACCCCATATCGCGTAACATGATACAGAGCGCGTGACACTTTTTTTTTAACCCGTTGTCTATGTGACGCGTAATGGGTGAATGACCGAAGACTCGATATAGAAAGCATCTGCTGATTGGTCAAAATCTAGGAGTTCAAGAGGCGGGGTCTTGCCTAATTAATCAGCAAAAAGGTTCACGCGAAATAGACCACGGCGAATTCTATTACATAGACTAGCATGAGGCGTTACTTGGGTTCAATTTTGTAGGAGGGACTTGATTAGGGGACTCATTTTCTGAATTTTCTTCAGTGGGACTTAAAAAGCTTAGTTTGCCTTCCCAATTCCCAAGAGGGGGAGGGTCTTACAGGGACAAGAGGGGCACAGGCCTCCATGAGGAGGAGATCCATGTGTGACCTTAAAGATGATTCCCCATGCTATTTTTGAGTTTTGTCCCGAAAAATAGATTCACATTCTTAATTAGTATTTTTCTAGTAAAACCAAAGTTATTCACTTTTGAGTGAGACATCCACCGAAAAAAAATTGGCCCGTGTTTAGCTATTCAATTATTCCTTTAAAGTTTCGAACTATTGGCTGCCAAACAATTATAAGCTCCCAAACAATAGTTCTGTTTTCGTGGGGTAGGCTGGTTCTCGCCGCACAATCAGTATCAATAATATACGGACCAGGAGCCAGTCTGCTTGCAAAGCGGATCTGTTTGTGCCAAAAACAAAATCTTTTTGTCAGAGGTTTCCAGAAGTTGAAATGTTTTTAATAAAATAAACACGAATTTGTTGAAAAGCACGCAGAGAACTTGAGATTTCAATAATGATTGACACAATGATACATGTGACTATATGACACTTTCCATTTCTGCGCAGGCCTGGGTGGGGGCGCTATAGCCGGTATCGTCATCGGTGTTCTCGTCGTCTTACTCCTCGCCCTCGGCGCCGGGTACTTCCTGATGAAGAACCGCCACGCCAAGCCACTGGACGACCCAGGCTTACCTCCGACCACCGGCTTTGATAACGTCTTGTACACACCTTCTCTTGATGAGGTGAAAACCAAGGATATCGATACTAAGCCCGAGTCAATGAGCGATGCTTAGAAACACTCACTTTCATGAACAAATTAAAGGTGCTCTCTCATTGTTTTTGCCCTAAACATGCCGCAGTAACTTACACATAGCGTACTGCGTGACACTTTCATATACATGTACAAGTTTTGAATTGAACTTGATGGTGGAAAGGTTTCAATTTTCAATTTCCTAAGCAGTGGAAGTACTGCTTCATCCAACTATACTGATTAAATGAAATACACATGTCGGTACACCTTTAACTTAAAAGTACAGTAATAGCAGCGGCACTGTTCTTACAAACTTGAGAGTTGATTACAAATTCAATAAATAAAATATTTGTCGATGAGTTTCAAAGTTGGCAGGGAATTTATGTGGACTTGACCGATCGCTGACAATGACTTAAAGTGCAGCTATAGTGATGTTGTATCATTTTGTAAGATGTAGACGCAAATCTGGTTGTATATTGAAACATTGTGAAACCCAAACTTTACTTTTACCTAAAGCAAGACACTATCACAATAAGTCAGGCTAACAGCGGGCCCACTAGCGTTTTGTTCAGCCCATGTTGTGTCCAATGATTATATGAACAATAGTATTACCAAAGTATAGGCCTTAACTATGCGATGGGCACAAGGCGAACTTGAAACCAGCTTATGGACAGACAGCTTGATGTTTGCCAGTGCTTAAATTATTAAGTGGAATATGAAGGAATGTCATGGTCCGTGCACCTAAATTTGCATATTGATAATAAAAGCTTGGACTTTCAATTAAGAATGTGTGACAGGTTGTTGGTGAATATTCAGAAGGCATAACGAGCGCTTACCACTCCCTCGTGGGTCACTCTATAAATCTGAGGTCCACTTTTTTTCACGTCCCTGACATCTATGATTTTTATAATTCTAATGCACTCCTTAATGCAGTCGTCCTCCAAGAGTGATTATAAATCGCAAACTACCTACCCAACAAAATAACAAAGAATTGTTTGAAGTCATTCTTAATGATACTTGAATGGCAAATGACAAAGTATACCAAGGTAACAGGGAATGGAAAACGTCACACCTTGGACCCTAAATTTGTAAATGACCCATGTGTGAACTCTGAACTTCACTGAAATCCGTATCCATGCAGTGAAATTGTCTGAGACAGCGGCACAAAATGTTTCTGTGACATATGGGCCTCAGTACCGTCTTCATCAGTTTCAACATCCGGCGATCAAAATGTAGAAAAATTTATGATTTCAAAATCGACCCTGCAGCCTATGCTTATGTGATAATGCGCGATATACCAAAATGATCGTAATATTAGAAATACATGGATCCTAAACTCAGCTTAAAATAATATTTGGCATTTTTTCCAGTTCAGTTAACAGTTACGTCAGTATTGTTAGCCTGTGTATCATTTGTATGAAAGTGTTTTTTTTTTAATCCGCTTGAATCTTGTCTTGTATAACTTCAAGTTAAATTTGAAGGTTGATGTAACATATATCTTGAAATTGCTCATGCAATTTTCTTAAACCAGCGCTCCAAATTAAATCTTGCTTGATCGAAACATATATTTTGAAATGCACTTCAGAAACGGATAAGAACAGTTACATTTTGATACACAGTACATGTTTTATAGTCAATACATTAGCGTTTAAAGTTTGTAACTCATCAACTTAATGTTACACTTATTTTCAGGTATTTCAGACTCGGTCATATTTTTTCCTCAATTCAATTTGATTTGTTACAGCAATGACGTCATTGTTTGCAAGATACAAAACAAATGAAGGCATTTTTTGTGTCAAAATCAGTCGAAATTGTTAATTCCATTACAGTATTTTTGGTACAAGTTCAAACAGTTTAGTATTGGGTTCAACAAATATATAATATTGGGTTCAACAGGTATAACTGGTTGAAACCATGTCATGACATGTAGGCTGAATAGAAAGTAGAGTTAGTCTCCATAACGTGTAGCATTTAAAGTAGGAAAAAAAGCTTTAGCGTAATCCTCAATAAACAGCTTTGGAAGAATAAAGCAAAGCAAGCAATAAATCTAGCAAGCATTTAAACTGTTATTTCTTAAGAGATTTATTTTAAGGAAGAGAACATAATAATATAAAATGCTGTTGTATACTTAGCAAAATTAGTGCGTACTACTTTTGAATATTGAATGTGAAATAAAATCTGGCGTAATCGAAGACTCTTTTGTTTTCCTCGTTTATCTCAAAAAACAGTCTCAGAAGCAGGAATTACAACATTCCGAGAGGGGTCATAAGATAATGAACAGACTTATTTGGCTCACTGTGGTTGAAATTTCGTCTTGAAGATTTTGTATCAACTTAATAAGTTAATACACACATTAACTCCAGCGCATAATGGTTCTCATATGTCAACTTGTATTGTTTATTGAATCCCAACCAACATGGATTTGTCAAGCACAGGAGTTGCGTGACCCAATTAAGTAATATCCTCCACTCTTGGTCGTCAACCCTGGATGAACGTCGCCCTCCGAGAATTGACGCTGTGTTCCTGGACATGTCAAAAGCATTTGACACGATGCCACACCACACATTGTTGGAAAAGCTTGCAACCGAATACAATGTACAGGGTCTATTGTGGCATTGGGTTAAATCCTTTCTGACTGGTCGGAGGCAGCGGGTTCTCTTTCAGGGCGCCGTCTCTCCATGGGCTGATGTTACATCAGGTGTGCCCCAGGGTAGTGTTATGGGGCCGCTTCTTTTCAATTTATTTATAAACAATGTGTCCAACTCCGTCTCATCTAGCTGTGTTATGTTTGCCGATGACATTCTCATGTACCGTGTTATTCGATCTACCTCTGACGAGCATATCCTTCAACAGGATTTACATCAATTAAACGAGTGGTGTAACTTACATTCTATGAAATTCAATACCAGTAAAACCCAAGTCATGCATATTACTAGGAATCGAAATATCCAACCCCCGATCTACATCTTAGGAGACGCTCCACTACTTGCTACTACATCCTCCTTCCAATATCTTGGCATTGTTATTGATTCTAGACTTACCTGGAAATCTCATGTTAACACCATTGTTCCCAAAGCTAACCGTCTTTTAGGCTTTATCCGGACAGTAGCACGTGCAGCCTCTCCATCTGCCATCTTTTGCTTGTACCGGTCCCTTGTCCTTCCTATTTTGGAATATGGCTTACCTGCTTGGAACCCCTATACCACCGCTGATCAACAAAAGCTTGAACGTGTACAACGCACAGCTACCCGTATTGTTCTAGGTCAGCGGAGGGGGGGGGGAATGCCATATGAGGAAAGACTCCATCGGCTCATCTGGTCCATGCTCACTTCCAGACGAAATTTCATTCTGTGCTCATTTGTATTCAAGGTATTGTACGGTCTAGTACACTGTGAATCCGTCCATGAGAACTTTCATATTAATCCACGTCATCCTAACATCCTCACATTTCTTGACCTTCCTGCTCGTACTGATGCTTTATTCCATTCACCAACCCGTCGCTTTCCTAGACTCTGGAATCACTTACCTACTTCAATCCGGGATTCTGCAGAGCTTAATTCACTAAACTCATTTCTAGCCAGTCTCAAGACACACTTCCATGACCAGCTCACATTATAGCGCAATTTACTTAATCTTAAGTTTAACCTTCGGGCTTCCCTTTATTGTGTTATTTCCCTGTCATTTGTAATCTTGTTCTTGCGTATTTGTTTGCCTTTTTTGTCCTGTTCATTTGTCATTATGTGCGGGTCCGCATGCTTCCGAGCAACAGTGATTAGATTCGCTTTTGCGGTCCCTGACCCACATAATCGTTTTCTTTGTGATTTTTTGTGTCTTACTGATTATTGTTCAACTCCCAATTGGGAAGCCCACTCCAGCTGTCATTTAAAGTGCATGCCCTCTACTTCATGATTTTTTAATGATTTAAATTTTAATTTAAATTTAAATTACATGTTTATACGTTTCTTTTGTTGTGCGTTTCAACCACTTTTGTGTAATTATTGTTTGGTTTTGTATCACTGTTTGTAATTCTTTGTTGAGGTCGAATAAATAATAATAATAATAATAATAATAATTTCTCATGTACTTCATTTGCATGTCTCTAATAATAGACATAATTTCCAGCGCCTTGAGTACCTAATTGTTGGTAGATACGTGTGCTATATAAGACTTCGGTATTATCATTATTATTATTATATATTAAAGACCCTCATATGGGTATGTGCTTTCTACAGCATGCCTTAAAATATCCCCAAAATTTGGCAAAATGTTAAGTTAGTGATGTATGGTTTGTGTCGGTCTATCTAAGCCCTTATCGGGTCTACATTAAGAAATAACACTTCTTCTTTTTTCATTAGTTGAGCATTCAGACTAACTTGTGATTTGGGACGTGTCTTCAATAGCACCAAATCTATGGGAGCCATTTCTAGATAGCCGATGTTTGATAATTGTCTAGCCCCCCAAAAATAAATTCCGTAAAAAGAAATTGCATTAGCAAAAAGGATTGTGATGTACATGCAAACGGTCTCCCCCTAAAGAAATAGTCGTGACAAGGGTGCATTTGTAGTTAATATAGTGTGAATGATTTTCGGATTTTATTGGCGCTCCCCATTGAAAATATGGCATCTCCCCCCCCCCCCCCCACCCACCTATTGATTTTCGGAGGCCTAAGTGTCTGGAGAAAATAACCGGTCTACATTTCAGCACGCCTCCCTGAAAAAAATTCTGGATCCACCCTGCTAGCCACCCCCAAAAAAATATTGGTTCTAGAACCGCGCCTGAGCCCAATGTTGAACTTTACTGAGTCTGAGGTCTATTGAGGGGACGATCCTCATTTCAACTCCTGGATATTCGCTGACAGTCTCTATTTTTCTTTTTAAGAAAGTCGAAATAGCTGAAGAGGGAGGTGAGAATCTATATATGCCCAGATACAAAGAGTAGAAATCTACGCGTCTGCCTTTTGAAAATACACAATCGCGGTGTTCATTGTTGCGTAATGATCCGCCTAGCACACGACTGTTTTGCACATTAGGCTGTGTTTTTATATGCAGCTTCTTAACAAACCAAACACACTGGGCTCATTATATCGACTTGTTTTTACCCATTAAGGTAAAGCAAATGGACCCAGTAATATTCCTGGCGCGTTTGCTCACATATAAAGACAACTTTTCTCAGTTTAAGGAAAATTCTAAGGTAACGAAATGGCCGAGTGGTTACGATTCGTCGCCCACGGTTAGCGGGGTCCCGGGTTCGAATCCCGCTGCTTTTTGGTTTTTAACGTATGAGTTCAATTATTCACTATAAGATATTTAGTTTCCCTTCGTAAAGTACCAACAGTACCTTAGCTTAATCGGTAAGCACTGCTGCTGGTACTGTCCGCGAGTTCCAGGTTGGCGCCTTCGTACAGGTTCAGGGCATGTGGTCCACTCGGAGGATCAGGGCTTAGGGGCCGCCCTGTTCCTCCCTTAGCTCTTTGCTTTTACATGGTGCCTGGCCCTCCGGGGTTATATGGATGGATAGGGAAGGAAGTGTGTATTGGTCGGGGACGCCGAGACCCCGGAAGAGAACTAAGGGATCGGCTGGGGCATTGTTATGGCTCAGACCGATCCCTGAAAGCTTGACTAGCACATAACTTTTTGATTTTTTTACCCTCTATCTTTTATACTTTGGTTTAGTTTGATATCTACAGCTGCTCGGCAGGTATACGGGTAGTATCAAAATTGAAACGAAGGTGTATGTCATAAATCAATAAATATTTCTTAATTGACTATAATCAAAACGGAGTTTCGTTTGATCAATTTGACTATCATTATATAATGACGCGATTGCCAATTGACGTAAGAAACGCCATAAATTATACCGGGAAAGAATAAAGATGTACATTGTAATATAAATATTATTTATACATCTT